CTATCAATATCAATAAGTTTACCCGGAGAGTTCATAATGACAAAAACAAAAATGTGGTGTCGTGCCGATTAATAATAATGAAAAAATTATGTAGATATATATATAGTAAATGTCTATAAAAAAAAATAATCGAGGCTCACCAAAATAATTGTGGTGGACCAGACAAATATGAACGCAAAAATTATAAACAAAGTTACTAAAGATCGATAGTAATATTAATATATATATATATATAGTTAATTGTTACAAATACAATAAAAATTAGGGACGTTACTTAAATTGACCAAACGCTGCGTGTTCTGATTATGTCCGGTAATGTACATCCACAATTATTTATGTTTGATAATTCCAAGCAGGTTGGCGAACTCTCTGGTGATATAATCCCACGTAGAATGTGATGTATTCCAATTACAGTCTATAAATAATGATAATATTTGATTTAGAATTCAGCTAATTCAATCACAAATGGAAATAGAACGAGGGATGTGTGAGTAGCAATGTATTTGTTAGCCAGTAAGTAAATGTCACGCTATGTTCGAATTACAGCGGAAAAAGTGTTCAAGGTCATTGACCAAAACAACACGTACAGTCATTTAATGATAAATGTACATACAGTGAAGAATTGACAAAACAAATAGAAATAACATTGAAAACTATTTACAAAATAGGCTTGTCAGTCATGTCTCCACAGTACCACTGTTAATTTTATCGAAGCGTCGAAGTAACCCCGATTGAGATACGCGCAAAATCGAAGTTCCAAAACAACGATTTGTCTACAAAAGCGGTTCTTTATTAAATAATACACAAAATTTAGTTACAAACCTCGAAACGAATGCTTGATTTAAAGATATTTTGTTGTCTCTTAACAGCACTTCCCTCTTGGGTAGTTAAAAGCCTGTCTACTAATTGTCATTTAATTACTGTGTATTTTCTTTTCACCATTAACTCGCTGTTTTGTAGTTATTTACGATAATCAGAAGTAATCAAATTTTGTATACTAACTCCTAGTACTCAGAACTGCCTAACCCATACTTTTGTAGCCATATATGGGCCAATATTCAAGTAGAGAAAACTCTCAGAAAACAATGGAAAGTAATTCATACGGAATTCATATAAGCAACAGAACCATGTACGAAATGAATCATCGATCGGTATTAATACCATATCCGATACAACTGAAACTAAAGTCCAGATTCATTATATATATTTTACGGTGTTGCGTAGCTCCTAAAGTTTCTGAACACCTTGTATTAAAACAGAGAATCCTTAAAATACCATAATTCTACGAATCTTTCTTTTAATAAATTGATGGAGTTTCTTTCATTACAAAAGGTCTGACGTATCCATATCTCACCAGGATTGTGTCCAGTATCCTCTCTAGCTCATCAAATTTTGAAGTCACAATGAAATTAATAGACGGTTTTAACTTCCTCGTGGAATTTTCCACCTGAACATTTGCCGCGATTGTTCATCGTGCTTGCAAGCAGCCAAAAGTTCAAGCAAGTGTGAACCGCAACAATGGGAAAAGCCAAATAGTCCCTGGGAGAGGCTGCATGCAGACTTCGCCGGTCCAATACGAGGGAGAATGTATCTAGTCATAGTAGACGCGCTCACAAAATGGCCACAAATCTACGCCATGGTGAATTGCACTCCAGAGGCCCAAAAAGGAGCCGAAGGGCCCCAGCTAACCATTGGTCGGTAGCATAATATGACGTTAACGGATTGGCTGAAATAAGATGTTGACTTAACAGACGCCAACATTTATAAATACCCTTGATTTTCTGTACTATAAGGAACCTTGGGATAAAGTGTTTTCTCTCATACTTGTGTCTTCTCTCTGAAGTTCAAGTCGCTGTGTAGTTCTAGTCTGCGGGTTACGGGAATAGCTTAGGATTCGTATATAGCGTTCAACCTACACGACTTATCAACATTAAAATAAAAATGTCTAGAAGTAGCAAATGGATGTTTGTACCCTTTACCACTCAACCAAGCAGTAACTGTGCGTCGAGGTGAGAGTCACTGCCGGTCACTAATATTATACTACTCCTAAGAGTTTGTTGTTATGACAGCAGATGTACCTGCTGAAGAATCCATTGTTTAAGTTTATTCAGCTTATTTCATTTATTACCATTATCCATTCAGTAACATTCAAATGTATCGTTTCGCAAGGTTTTTTACGTTACCATACAAAATTTGTCTTTCGTAAATGAATTTCTTGATATACTCGACTGAGTTAAGGCGTTCTGTTCTATTAAACTCATGTCTGTTTATAATAATGGTAACTTTGCATATTTCAGATGATAAAGCATCTTATCACAACAACCTCCCACCCATTAAATTCCAAGTAGTCCGCATTAGGCATACGTTGGTCCACGTCAGACCAATCTTCATTAGTGTCTGTTACTGTTATGAAGAAGAAAGGAAATTATGAATTTCGTGGACTTAGTTTTGGATGAATTAGTTCAGATTTTTCAGTTTATATGCGTTTTGCAATTAGTTATTGTATTTAGTTTTATAATCTCTAGTGTACAGCAATTTACGAGTTCATAAGCTGTTTCTTAACTTGTTAATATATCATACTGTCAGTTTGAGTGACAATTATTGCTCCGTTATATATCGTTTGGCCACAGAAAACTGGTAGTCCTGGCTAAAAGTTAACAAAATTTGGATTGGATAGTTGGGCAATTTTTCCACACTGATCATTTTGTTTATTTTTTACTTGTTCACTTGAATTTCTGAGGTTTGAGCAAATGAGACTATTTGTCATTGTAAAAAATATACCATTGCTGATCTAACAGATTTCCATTTCATATCACCCAAAATGTATGATGTATATAGAAAGGCTGTGTTAATAGGTGTTTTTAGATCTCCCATAGAGTAGCTGCGATTAGACAAAAATAACCCGACTTCTTCAGGAATACGATTCTTATTCAGTCTTCCCAGAAGCGTTCATTATTCGAAAGAGCTGTAGCCAAAATAAATTGTTCCTACAGAGAATATGAACGTTGATCTATGAGAGTGAAATGATAATAGTTAACTTAGGATAAATTAGGCACAACGTAGGTTTACAAATGAGGTACTAACCCGTTGGGGTTATTACGAGGCTTATGTCATTAAATTAGTAAAATCTTATAACTGAATGTTCACAGAGATATAAGTACTAGGCATTAAACAGAAATCTATTATACGATAATGAAATAGATCCACAGTTGTTCTGAAGTATCCAAAACAATGTGTTTAGTATCAGTTGCAACCTTGATGGACGAATACACTACGAACATGGTGCAAGTATGAGTAGAAGCTTAACAGCTGCGTCATACAAACATGGAGCCGTAAAGAAAGAGAAAAAAAGAAGGGGTTATGGCAAACGATTAAGAGTCGTCAAATAAGCCTATTGCTTCACAGTCGGACAGACTAGAACATTGTAGCATTTGTACTAACTGATGATTCATTTGTACATGATTGCCCACAGATTACGAATTACAAATATAATACGTTCATTTGTGTTCATCTAGTTCTCCCTACCTTAGATTGCACTATTTCGGGAATTCTTAGTTGGTACATTAATTTGAATACGTCTAAATAATAAAGATATTATAGGTCAGCAGAAATAACGAAAACTAGTTATTATCAGAAACATAAGGTTGAAACTATTAGCCTAAAGAGTAGCGAGCATAAAGAACAGCTTCAAAATCATCGAACGGTTCCCTCAACTCCAATCCTAAATAGCCTGAGACAAACAGAATGTTTTGTCCTGATAAAATAAGTGATCTGAAATAATCCCATTCATTTTTGGTGTCCGTCCGTTATTTCCGACATTACGAGTATGTTTTTGGCCAACTCTTAACCACCTGTTCAACTTGTTACAAAGTCAATGTCTTCCCACTCGTTATGTTTGCGCCTTTTAAAGCGATAGCTTAGTAACCAAAAATCTGACTTCAATTAAATTGTATGAATGATTGCTGTCGAAATATACATCATGACTATTCTCGTATATTTTTATCGACCATTTTTAATTCCCCTATTCACTAACGCGGACTAAGCCAAATACGAGAATGGACTTTCGAATACATATATTTTGCACACTCACTGATGAGGCGAAGGATGCGAAGTGAGTGAAGCGAAATGACGCGCTGTGGAGAAGGCGTGTGGGCCAACTCGATTTGGCCAAGCGTTAATCAATATTTACGGCCACAGAAAAATGGGTCACAGATCTGAATTGGTCGTCTACAACTATTCGACGTCCAGTGATCAGTTTTTAGACGAAGGGATACATTCAACATGTCAAAATACTTAACTCAAATTCCCGGTCGTTTCACCAAACATACAAGTTTATACCCAAAGACCCGATTTCTTCAACCCTGAAGATGACACAGGTATTCAGTGTTTGACAACGCTTCTACCAGTAACACCCACCCACAGAAATCAAAAGACAGAGTCGAGGAGATCGGAAGAGTGTATTTGGTGATAACCAATATATCGGAATTCTCTGATCTAATCTGGCTAGCGATCGCAGTAGCAGTTGAGCACAACGTTACCAAAGGTGATCTGGTACGGATGCATGACCGAGCGTCTTCAGCTAGTTGGGTCCACTAAAACATGTTTTCAGCATCCAATGTCGAAAGCTTACAGAGTTATTTATTTTTGGGATTTATTTACCGCTACAACCCCTCCACTGAACAAGCGACAAACACACTCATCAGCGATTTTTCGTATTATGTGGTTTCAGATGCTTACTTTATTCCAGTGATCAACTGCACGGATATTCAAACGGAAAACAGTAGATGGCTCCCATCTCCTTCAGAAAATTCCGAAAGCGTTGTCGTCTTACATGTGTGTTTCAAAGGTTTTTTTATTGTTATGGTTTAGGCATTACTTTCCAAAAACTTTTTTCTGGAGTCTTTCGTTTGAGCCTTGTAAGGTGTGGCAATATCGTTATTGCAATTTCAGCTTAAGTTCTTTCTTGGTTATTGACCACTTGTGACTGTGCATGAAGTTACCTTAATTTAAAAAAAATGCTTGTACGTAACAACTAATCTTACTATTCGAATATAAAGTGAATCCACCACGACACTTGTTACTGGGAGGCTAGCCGTGTCACACATAGTGTCTTCAAGGAACTAGACAAGATGCTGAACACCCATATATATTGGACTTCACGCGACCTTGAAACTGTACAGACGTTGGAGACAAGGCGGGTCAGCGTAACCTTGAGATGAGTTCCTTGTCGAAATTTTTCAAGTCTAAGAAGAATGATAAACCAGAGACTCAAACGGCAATTCATAAGCTTAGAGAAACACATGAAATGCTTACAAAGAAGTCGGCCTTTCTGGAAGGAAAGGTTGATGAGCAGATAGCTTTGGCCAAAAAATACGGTCTGAAAAACAAAAGAAGTAAGATTTATTAGTCTGAATTATTTAATTTATTAGTGGCACTTCAGGCTTTGGCTCGCAAGCGTAACTACGAGAAGCAATTAGCTCAGATTGATGGAACTCTCAATACAATTGATAGTCATATCGAAGCTCTCGAAAATGCTGGAACAAATGTCGAGGTTCTTAATGCCATGCGATATGGGTCAAATGCCTTAAAAAATGTCCACAAAAACATGTAACTGTTAGTGTGTTATGATATTCATGCTTTTAGGACTGCTGACGATGTGCAGAATATTATGGATGATATACAAGAACAACGAGATACGTGCCAGGAAATCTCTAATGTAATATCCACCCCTATGGGTCTAAATGCAGACTACGATGAAGATGACCTTCTTCGTGAACTTGAAGAGCTTGAGGTAACTCACGGCTGTGTGGCTTGTTAATTTAAAGGCTTAAATCTTGTTTATAATTTTGTTTAATTTTTAAGTTCATTTGTTTTGTATGCCCTGTTTGGTAGATTGATCTTCTAAATAAACAACCACATACGTTTTACTTAAGTCGAGGACAGGTGTACTTATGTGTTAACATTCGTACGGTTTTTCAAAGTCTTATTAGTAAACATTGGGTTAGTGTTAGGGTTGGAAACCGCTTATAAAGGAAGGTCACTGTATCTCACTTAATGGTTGGTGGACAATTAAAGTGGTTTTCATACATACAATAGAAGTGTTGAAAACGTGGTTTTCAAAGTGGTGCTACAACTATCCAAAATATTTCAGTAATTCATTTTGATTATATTTTGGAGTTTTGTGGATTAAATCCCGACCGTTGTTGCTACCTTGACGTGGTGGTCGGGCTTGCCTATCGTGATGAAGCAACCGAGCTATACTGGCTGGAACAACCGTTCCTCAAGGTCCTACCATGTCAGACAGGTCGGTTGAAGAGCGGTAAGACTAAAAGCAACAAACCCAAGGTCCGAAGGCGAAGTCGTACTGCTGACTGTACAGAGGTGTGACAGCAGTAAGGTGTTTCCTTCAGACAACCAGCATGACAGCGATGCTGCCTTCCCACAAGGAGGGGTGGGGTTAGAAAAGGTCGACCCTAAAAATGCACACCTCGCCTTATCCCACGGATAGCCGTCTCCGGCGGTAAGGTCCCAATAAGTACGGAGCTAACACAAAAATTACCCATAACAAGGTCGTGTGTGACCGACCTCAAGCAGTTGTCCCTTGGGCACTGCGGTCACGCTCTCAGGTCACTAAGACCACCTTTAATCCAAATTCCTTTTCAGGTACCTCCAGAAGAACCCTTCCACGGTGTGGGCAACCGGGAAGTGAAAACCGCCCTCATACCTCTAACAGCACTCAAGACCACTGTATTCATAATCAACCTTCCTCTTCAATTCCTATTATTCCTCCTACATCGACTTTCAACTTTAAATTTCCTCTCTCGGCTTCCACCTCAAGTGTCACCATAGCCAACGATTCTAGTGCGCAAAATACTGTCCCAGGTCTACTGAAACCTCGCTCCAAACTACACATTGGAGCCTTCAACGTACGAACCCTATGTCAAATTGGTCAGCAGGCTTCCTTGGCTAAAACCCTAGAGTCTCTTACCATTGACGTGTGCTGTGTCTCCGAAACACGCATACAGGATTCCAGTGTGGTCATTCACTTGACCTCACCTCGGCAAAACGGAGAGCCAACGAGGTACACCCTTCGTGTATCTGGTGACCCGATGGCAAGTTCTCGTGGACTGGCAGGTGTAGGCATAGCACTAAGCATGAGGGCCGAACAAGCACTGCTGGAGTGGATCCCCGTCAACAGTCGTCTATGTGCTGTTCGGCTGAACGGCTACGTAAGAACTCGGAAGGATAGGGACACACGTCGTTGCCTTTTTGTCGTTTCTGCCTACGCTCCCACTGACTGCAGCTCAGATGATGTGAAAGATGAATTTTACAGAAAGCTGTCCGAACTTCTTCAGAAAGCTAAACGCTCAGACATAGTACTCGTAGCAGGTGATTTTAATGCTCAGATAGGCAGTTTAAACCAAACAGAAAGGCATTTAGGTGGATATTTTAGTATTCCGACACAGCGAACAGATAATGGTGATCGTCTGCTGCAACTATGCTCAGACAATCGTTTATTTTTAGCAAACACAAATTTTAAGCATAAAGAGAGACATCGTCTAACATGGCGACCCCCTACACCAAACCAACGATGGACTCAAATAGACCATATTGCCATCAGTCATCGTTGGAGAGGGTCGGTAGAAGATTGTCGCTCATTCTGGAGTACCTGCTTGGACTCCGACCATGCCCTAATACGGGCACGCATCTGCTTGCGCCTCACTGGACGCAAAAAAGCCACATTAAAAAGACCCGTTAGAACTGATTTGAGTAACGAGAAAACCAAAAGTAGGTTCCAGGAACAATTGAGGTCACACTTAGGTAGTTGTGAAGACGAGGCTGACCCAGATGTTGCTTGGAAGGGCATACAATCAGCTGTGGAAACAGCAGTGACATCTATTAGTGACTTAAACCACAGAGTTGCAAGGAACCAGTGGATTTCTTCAAGGTCTGTCACACTGATGGATTCTCGAAAACTCGTCCCATCAGGTCCTGAACATGATGAAGATCGAAAACAAATCAGATCTAGGTTAAGAAAAAGTCTAAAGAACGACCGTGAGCAGTGGTGGGTAACGAAAGCAAAAGAGATGGAAAAGGCGGCGACTATAGGGAACACAAGACAGCTTTACAGACTAATAAAAGAAACTGGAATTAGTAAGTCAAGTGTAAGTGAGATTATTTCGGAAAAAGATGATACTCTCATCTGCTCCCAGTCCAGGCGTTTAGAACGATGGGCGGAACATTTTAGAGAACAGTTCAGCTGGCCTTCAGCTACTCTACAACTACCCTCCATTCCCAGACAGTGTGAATGGAACATTGAAATAGGTCCCCCTACTCTTGCTGAAGTTCAAAAGGCTATAGTTAATCTGAAACGAGGAAGGGCAGCTGGTCCAGATGGATTGGCTCCAGAGGTCTTTAAGGATGGTGGTCCAATTTTAGCGATTAAGTTGACTAATATTTTAGCTAAGATCTGGGAATTAGACTTTATCCCATCTGACTGGTCGCAATCACTTATCGTCCCAATATATAAGAAAGGGTCAAAATCATCCTGTGACAACCACAGAGGGATTAGTTTAACTAATATAATATCTAAAATACCGGCCTCGATAATTATCAAACGCCTAACTAAGACTCGTGAACTACAAACTCGAGAGAACCAAGCTGGCTTTAGACCTGGTCGTGGCTGCATCGACCACATATTCACCATTCGTCAGGTTCTAGAACACAGGCATACCTATCGGCGTCCGACGATGGTGGTCTTTCTTGATTTAAAAGCAGCATTTGACTCGGTAGACCGCGAGACTCTGTGGCAGTGTCTGTCATTGAAAGGCGTACCTCAGAAGTACATAAACCTTGTAAAGGCTCTTTACTCGAACACTACTAGTCGAGTCAGGGCTTATGGCGAACTGTCATCTACTTTTGCAACCTCAAGTGGTGTCCGTCAAGGCTGTCCACTTTCTCCATTTTTGTTTAACTTCATCATAGACCTATTGATGGAAATAACACTCTCGTCGACTGAATTCTCGGGTATTGATCTCCTTCCAGGAGGTCCATTTATCGACTTAGAATACGCAGATGACATAGTCCTGTTTGGTGAAGACGCTGACAAAATGCAGAGTCTTCTGGTAGCACTAAGCAACAATGCCAGAATGTTTGGGATGCGCTTCTCTCCCTCGAAATGCAAGTTGTTGCTTCAGGACTGGTCTGCGTCAACACCTGAACTAAGGATAGGGAGTGAGGTAGTTGAACGCGTTGACAACTTCACTTATCTTGGAAGTGTGATCAGCCCTAATGGGTTGGTGTCTGACGAAATCTCAGCACGGATTCGAAAAGCTCGTTTGGCTTTTGCCAACTTACGCCATCTTTGGCGAAGGCGAGATATCCGTCTATCAATAAAAGGACGAGTACACTGCGCGGCAGTTCGTTCTGTTTTAATTTACGGCAGCGAAACATGGCCCTTAAGAGTAGAAGACAACCGTAAGTTACTAGTATTTGACCACAGATGCCTTAGAAATATTGCTGGCATCTGCTGGGATCACCGGGTAAGTAATAGTGAGGTTAGACGCAGGGTATTAGGGAATGATGGTAAATCAGTTGATGAGGTTATGAATCTTCATCGACTGAGATGGTTGGGCCACGTATTACGTATGCCTGAACACCAATTACCACGACGTGCAATGCTAACCGGGGTAGGGGATGGTTGGAAGAAAGTTAGGGGCGGCCAAACCAAAACGTGGCATCAGTGCCTGAAGTCACTAACTTCTAGTCTGAGCCATGTTGGTAGATGCAGACTACTTGGTTGGGGTCCGCGTGACAATCGTAACCAATGGTTAGAGACTCTTGGTGACATGGCTCAGAATCGATCACAATGGCGTCGGTGTATACACTCTCTGTCTTCCCTTAAACTAAAAGATTAAAATCACTTCATTCTTTCTTTCTACGAACTAATTCTTTCTTCCTATACTATATCCTTATTGCAACCTTTGACCTAACCACTCCTATGAATCCGCTGTTCATCTTGCTGTGCTAATGAGGTATGGCAACTTGGACCGATGCACATATGTGCCTGGTCCTACGTTGTAACTGACTGACTGACTCACCAGATTACTATTATGGAGTTGTTATTACACGGGCTAAAGTTTTGTTAAGTATTAATGGCCATCAAGGACATTGCATGTTTGCAGAAATAAATATTACACCAGGTTTACTCATGCATCTATTCATTGTTCAAATTTAACTATTTGTAAAGGTTCACATTGTTTTTGCAGCTACTCCATCATAACGATATGCGTAGTGAAGTGCAGCAATGTAGTTATAGGTTAAAATGTCTGAAACTACCAAGAAATAATGAATTTTATCCAGTCAAGTGATGGTCAAACATGTTGCTTTAAAAGGCAATATGGTTTTATAATACACCAGTACTTAACCTTTTTTATTGTTGTGGATGCATTCAGCGACACCAGTTTGGCGTCGACTTCTCGAACTAAAATATCCGACGTTTAACTGTGTTTTAATCTGACCAGCAGTCTGTACTAGCCACTCGATTTCCGTTCATTTTAACTTGGTCTAATTGAATCAGCTCCTAACACATTAATGGTATACATTACCTTGTAAAATTTTGCAATGTTTGAAATTTGCACTTATATAATGGTGATTTTCTGCAGACATCTGTAATGAGTCACTGTTAATACCTCGTTAAGATCCATTTCCTACTCTCCAACGCCTTTATTTCAGGAAATAACATACATTGTGGTCGCCGGCTTTACAAGTACTATTTATGTTCGAAGCGAAATTGATAGTTTGTAGTGACGAGTGTTTCTCTCAAGCATGAGCTTCATTTCATTTAACCCTGCATTTTTCATAACCCTGAAATAAAAAACGTCAACCTATATATCTTGGTTCAAAATCGTGATTTCTTCCTCCTGGCTATGTATTTGCAAAAGTCAGTCAGCCAGTAACAACGTAGAACTTCGTACGTACGTACATCATTTCGAGTTGCCAAACCACATTAGCACAGAGATGCAGTTATCGATTCAAATCCCATAGTGGTAGAGGTAGTAAGAGTATGAGCAGTAATCGGAAGCATTAGGGTTTGAAGATGTTATTCAAGGAGTATAATCCAGTGAAATAAATTTGGAAAGCGACACGAATAGGTCATTGTTCTCAGACTCTAGTGGAGTAAGACTATATTGAAATGTAGCTGATTCCCTTAAATAGTACAATCTGATTCAGTATACCGTGGACCTGATAGATGAACACATGGCAACACTGTGTTGTCAGAAGCCAAATCTCTTTATTCGAGAAATGTAGGGCTGACTCAGGATACTTTTTCTACAAGGTTCAATCATCGGCATTGAGTATGTAGGTCATAAACAAAAAAAGCAGGATTGGTTGGAGTAAGTGAAAATATTGGAATAAAAAGAAGTCTAACTATAGAACATTAACGTTTACATCATTAAATTACCGACCATGGTTTTGCAGGAGTAATTTTACAATACGCATTTATTGTTCATAAGATGTTATATTGTATCCCAAAAGATAAAGGAGGTTGCACAGAAGAAACGGTTCGAGAAAAAATATAGATTCGTGGAATAAGTTAATTGAAAAAACTTAGGATCTTAAAGGGTAAAAGGAATAAATGCATCTTATCTACCATTACGAACGATTCTGAGTTTTGTTACCCAGTCTTTAATTATTGGTTACAAGAACCACATGGACCCCAATTAAGCAACCAGAACCTACCTACACGGTCTACACCAACATTCATAGATTAATGCCATGTTTTTGTGTTGACTTGCTCGTATCTCTTGCTCAACCTACTATTCCATCTGTAACTAAATACTTTTAAACTACGAATCTTTTTTTATTAATGTGGTTTTACAGCAAAGATAGCTTAGTAAATTAAAGCACTCAACTTTCAACCATTGTGAATTCAAACCTTTCTCCATCTACCTCAATTTATAAAGTTGGGTAAGTATCATTGGCCTTCACAAAAACTGCACAGTTGAAACCTTATGTCAAACCATGTAGTCTATAGTCCTATTTTTATCGCTTTTGTTACAATTCATTACTTTATTAAATTACATCATAGTCAGTATTAAAAAAATTTGTGTTTTGTTTACTTAAAGGCTGATGGTGTTGAACAAAAATTGCTGGATATTAATCGGATACCTCAATTGCCTAATGTCCCAGATTCTGATTTGTCAATACCTGTAGCATCCAAAAGTGCACCAAGTAAGCTATCAGAAAGAGTTTTTACACTTTTTTTATTAACGTGCTATACACTTAAATACTTTGAAGATTTTGACAAATCAGTACTTAAGTTAACGTTTAAAAGATTATCTTTTAGGGAGATGAATAGAATAAAGCTGAAATATGAAGATGAAGCAGTCAGAAATACGATCTGTCCAGTTAACCTGAAAACAGCTAATGAATGAATAATTTATAATGTTAGGATTTTGGTCTTAGGATCTGGACGCAACTTCAGTCAGCTTTATGCAATGTAGAACTTGATGCGATTGTTCACTGGTTCAAGTCGACACACTGTTAGCATGCTGAGATGAATTTATCGAAGCATTCCCAGAATAACAAAGGTAGTAACAGTGCCAGTGATAGTAGAAAAGATTACATATAAAGAAAATAAAAAGGGTGTGGAGAGATTTCCGGATCCATGATCTGAGAGTGGATAACGAGTGAATGCAGCTGTGCTATTGCGAATAACTAAGCTATGTTACTCAAAGTCGCTGAGCATTGGTTTCAATAGCTGCGGGGACTGCAACTAGGTAGTGTGCATCTCCCTACATGGATCAGTTCGATTGTCAATAACTTCGTGGACTGATTTCACGTCTTGGCTTGGTCACCCTTATTCGTCCTGATTGGATCGCCTCTATAAATTAACTTCACCGGTAATAGTTCATTTAAAAATGAATAATTTCATTGGATTCCGTAAATTCATCGAGAAGGCTAGTCTTCAACTCGATGATCTCAATAAAATCAAATGGTTGTTTTGCGATTCCTAATTCATGATAAATACTTTAATATCAGTGCTGAACTAGTAAAAAATAACATTAAATTATTTGAATTACTAGGTTTACTGGTAACCGAATACAAAAGATTCAAGTACCAAAAAAATATTCAAAATACAACTCTCCTGTCTCTTTAGTAGTTTAAAATATAGTATACTTGTCGGAGATGAGGCGTTCATTATCACTATACATTACATCTTTAAGAAGAGTGAATTCGTGAACCCTACTTATATTGATTAATATGCTTAAATATACATAACTAGGGAATGTTTCATTTATGGAAGAGTGCACAAAGTAGATTTCTCTTCGAAGATTACGTGAATAATATCTTTGATATTGAAGCTAAATTAGCGTTAGTGTGAATGTTAAAGGTTCTTTCACCTAAGTGAATCCATTATTCAGACTGACGGTTAAAGTAACTTAATCAATTGAACAGCTTCATATTGAAATGACCAATCAGTTGCAAACTTCATTCACGTTACCGTAGTGTACAGTACTATAGCAGTAAGACTTCCCAAAAACAATCTTATTTTAGTATGTGTAGCACTATCAAAAGAATAGGCCATTTTCAAGACCCTGTCTCCCGGGAACTATGTAGAAAACTTACTATATTCTTCATAACTTTAGTGATTCATCGGCGGAATTTTATCGTAAACATATTGTCTAATATACCTTTCCTTAACAATAGATGCGGATCTTAACAACAGGGGTAAAAGGCAAATAAAAACGAAAGTATCTACTTCATTTGGAATGGTCCTAAGCTATATCTCCCAGCGTTTCCAACCTCTGATCTCAATTATCACGCCGACCCCAATTAGGTAGGTAGGTAGGTAGACATGACTTCGACCCACAGTCAGTCACTTCTCGAAATGATACGACGTCTTGGTTTGGTCGATCACTGCTTTCTACTAACTCCTATATTATTTAATGTCGCTCGTTGTAGTAGACGGTGGTCAGGTATATGTAACACATTCTAATCATCCCAGTCGATGAGAGTTCACTGTAACTTCATCATCCGACATACTATCTTTATTCTTGTAACTGTGATTGCAGATTAGAGCGCAGCGAATTATCGATCGAACCAAAGACGCGTAAACACGTAAGAACGGCCTAGAGTCCTGATTGGTCCTGCTCCCCTGTCTAGCCCAGCCAGTTTAGTCCAAAACGCAAGTCTCATCCTCTAAGATATGAATCATTATATTTCAAGCATACTGAGTTTTTATACCAATCAAACCAACCACAACGTACCAATAAAATATAAAACAACATTTGTACAAGAATTAGCCAGATGTGGCTGTGAATGAGGGAGGTAGCGATTAACAGACAGGGAATAATTCATGAATGATAAATCGTATAATAATCGTTCATAGGTCAAAATAAAGCTCATAATAAGAGGGAGATGAATATGAACAGTTTAGTTACATAACAATTATACGATAGAAATATACTCAGAATATTGGTCCGTAAATGGATCCCAAAAATTACCATTTATTATTCTATCGGGATACAACAACTCTTTACCCTATAGCTTACGTCAGTATTACTCGATTGTTTCCCAACACAAAAGCAATGCTTCAAAGATGTCTATGATCAAAAACCTACAAGTTATACGTATCTTCTGCTTCCATAGACCCTATTTCACAGCCACACAGCACAGGCTATATAAAATCGATATATCTATGAGGATTTCCTTTTCTCCTTTTATTTAGGTAAGAAAGCAATTGAAGATGACGATATTGGAGCACTTGCTGAATGGGCTAATTAATAATTACATTAATAACACCTCATAATCTTTTTCTAAATCATTATTATCAAGTGTGTTCGTTTATCATCTACAGTTTGAATTGTTCTCTGTTCCCATTATTATGACCTGCCCCGTGTTTTGTTTATTCTACAATGTTCAATAAGACCAGTTTTTTTAAAGTAATGATGATCATAATGATTCCCTGCTTCTTTTTTTAAAAAAAAAATAAACACCTTCACATTTGTACTAATCTTTGTGTATAATCAATCTCTGCTTCATTTTTCACTTTAAAAAAAGAAATGAAAACAGTCTAATCTCCTTTTTCTTCTCTACTCAATTACATTTTCTATGTGTAAATTCGTTTCACTTGAAAAAGATGCACTGTATTGTACTTGTACTACTACTACTACCACCACCGCTGTATTGTATTGAATGGTTTATGTGTTATACTTATTGTAACATTCAAGGTGTTCTACTACTACTACTACTACTACTCAAAGTATTCAAGATGAAATACATTGAAAGTGTTTAATTCTACTAACTTATTGATTCTAGTTCTTGGAAGAAGAAGAAGAAGAAGAAACAGTTAGATAAATAGATATTTACTAATATATATTTTTTTCTTATACTACTCGATGCATGATGTTTGGCATCAATAATAAATAACATAGTCTGTTGTTACATATATTTTTTTTTAAATTGGTGAGATGATTTCAACCCCACAACGTTCTCGTTACTTTTCTTACATACATTTATAAATTTTTATCAATAATAGCCTATTTATATACAATATATGTGTGTATACCTGTTGCTAATATACACAAATGATTTGTTATAGCTTAATGCTAGAATTTTCTTCTCTTCTGTTGGCTTTTTCTATCAATCTACCTTATTTTCTCTCTTATTGTGATTAAAATTAAAGATAAACGTTTTAGTTACTACCATTTAAATATTTATATTGTGTGTGTGTGTGTATGTATGTATGTATGCATGTATGGGTGTATATGTAATGTGTAAAAAAGGTTGGATTATTGAATAGAACAGTAAAGAGAACATTAGTTAGATAAAGGATCCTACAAATGATTAATTAATTTTGGTCTGGATTATGATTGTGTCAATATTCTAATGATAATCTAATTGTAATTTGATTCCATGTATGAACAATAACAACAAAAGCAATACTCTTGGAATTAATTTCTTATTTAAAACAACCTAAATACAATTAATTTTCTATATATTTTTTTTCAAAAGAAAATTGTCACATTCTACATTCGTCTGATTAGATACAAAAGATTGAATGAGAAAACTATGGTAAAACGGAATATAAATATACACTAGCCGTTGATATTTATATATTTTTCTATACTTTAAATATATTGGCTAAACCTTGACAAATTCCATGAACAGCTTCAATCAATGATTTGTCTTCATTTTCACACTTCTTATATTAGCATTGAGCTAGCTTGTTTGCATAGATACTTAATATGTTTGGATACACCCTATGAGTAGTATTGGTTATATGTACGATAAATGAAATAAACATATTGTGAATTTAATTAACTAGAATGTCATTGACTGATATATATTTTGAATGTGACCTAGGTGTAGTTTTATTGTATGAACTGATTACTGAAGAGTCCAATGATTTGATTGATTGACTCTATGATCATAGGATTAGTTAACCAAGCTTAAATACATTGACTGAGACACTAACTAAATTGGATAGATTTCTAAGTGTAATTCACCTTACTTCCTTGTTTTGTTTTCTTCCTGTGATTCTAGGACTTTTCGTCTCTCCGATTACTAATATGTAACGGCTATTTTTTGTATTCGTATAGTTTCTTTAAGTGTTATGTACTTCAGTCGTCAAAGTATGTTACTGATAATATACTATTTCAATATGCGTGCTCAAACCAAGTGAACAGAGAACTTCATTGGTTAACCGAATAAATAATGTATGTACAATTCATTAATACAGACACATATCCCTCAATACATTTGGTCAGATTTCCAGTCAATGGTGTACATCTGCCTCGGGAAGTGAAGTCGAATGTTGACCAATCGCATGCAATAATTAGTATATCGCTTATCTAATTTACCTAGCGTTGTGTATTTTCGATAACTGTAGTAATCACTAACTATAGATCTAAGTGATTAGATCACGAGTTACAGTTACACTATTGTTTTACAAATCTTGTTGCCTCTCAACAGTTCGATGACTCTAAGTGCTTTTGTATCTTAAGCAAAGACAATGATATGATCCAACATCACAGTACATATAATATTCTGATGATCTTAGACTAACCAATGACAGGACGGATCAACTATAGACGATATTTAGTGTTGTGATTAGGGTGCAAATGTCAAACAAGGAACTTGCCGCTCAGTAATATCGAGTAATGTACATTCATAAGATAGTATTGTTCTAGTATGAAGAGAGAATTCCTAATGTACAATAAACCTTTCCGTAGTTCGATATGCTTTACTGAAGGAAAAATGAATTTATGAACATTGATTTAAGTATACCTGCTTTCTAGTAGATTCTAGTGACATTTACTCTATTTGAATCAAATATGTTGCCCAAATGTTCTTGATGCAACTGTATCTTTCACTCAGCAGGATGGCTTAAAATAGTATGGTTTCCATTGTCTTCCTAGATAACATCGACGCCAGCACAAACCAAGAAAAGTATCCGAATAGGATGTTTTCATAGATGATTACCTACTGGGTTGTGTCAACATTCAGTGTGGTTGATCATCACTTAGGATCTGTCATGGCTTCAACTCATATTAATACGTAACCTTACCATGATCATTCTCTAAAGATACGAATCTTCCTGTGGTTTTTTCTAAAACAGGTGTCCTAAGTCTAAATTTATTTAAATCTTTCTTCAGAGTTTACTTAAAACCCCTTTTGTAAAGAAACTGGCATCATATTCTTTTACCTTAAGAATGATATCTCTTGGAAAATGTTCAAAAAGCAGCAACCAAAAACCTACTCAGACTAAAAAGTAAACCTTGCTCATTTCTTGTAGATACCTAAGATTTGCAACTTATGCAGTGCAGAAACAGAAGGAACGAGTCTTTCAAAATAAGGCTTGATATCTACGTTACTTCCGTAGACATTAACGAATGTTACTCTGTCACCGTTTAATTACCTATCTGATTACCAGTTAATGTATTCTCTTTTCAGATTCAGAAGGAACATAAAAAGTTGTTTTTTTTACCTCTTTTTAACCAAGATCTTTTTACTAGTACTCAGATCACAACAAGCAAACAGCTCGCTACTTTTAAAGTATCTTATCCCACGGATTTAAGTTTGTCTTAAATTTTTCCGAGTTAATTGGTTTAAAACAGAGTAATAATTGAATTTTTTTTAATTAGGGTCGTGAATCGATTAATGTTATATCATTATTGAAAATCTGAAAGCACTGAACGGCCATTTCATCCTAATATGAGACTCTTCAGTAATGCGCATTCATGATCCCGCCCATGAGATTCAAACTCAAAACTTCCAGTCTCGTATGCGAACGCCTAATCTCTAGTAATTGATTTCACCAATTAATTTTCTATATTATTTTTGAAATCATGAGTCATTTGAAGCTAGATCACCATGGAAAACCTGGAAGCACTGGACAGCCTAGTATGGGACTCAGCAATTCGCATCCACAATCCCGCCCCCGCGAGATTCGAATCCAGAACCTATCAGTCTTGCGGGTGAGCGCTTAACCATTAGACCACTGAGCCGGCATCCAACGGCGTTAATGTCTAACTTCAACCAATTCACGAAATTGCTGAAGAGTTCCATACTAGGATTAAACGACCGTTCAGTGCTTCCAGGTGTTCCATGGTGGTCTAACTTCAATTGACTCATAATTTCAACTATTGAAATTATTAAAATCTTCACAAAACCCCTTGTGATATATTATCATTTTTATCTGAATAGAAAAGCATAATAATGATTAATTTTTCTAAACCTGTTACTAACCATTATATAGTTTTCTGTTTTTAGCAGACTTTACTAAAAATGCTGAATCATAGTCACGTATGAATGTTAGTTACAATTCAAACAAAATTAAAATTGTCACCAATCATTTCTAATTTAATGTAACTATTAGTCAAATGCCAATATTCACATTTCAAGGTTATGTCTAAATAGATCTATAGTACTTTATTTATAAGATGACTATTTTACAAATATTTATGGAGAATTAAATATATAACTCAGTTAACATTAGTCCCAGAGTGAACATCAACTCTGAGATGCAGGTACATCCAGCTGACAAGTCCCAAACAGAACGAAACGCGCGTTCTGGATTCCACTGCTAGCCACTATCCATCTTTGCTTATAATGCTTGTACATTAAGGCAATATCGAGGCATACGCACAGTATACACATATACCAATAAGAGACTGATCAATTTCAGTCCTAAAACATCAATGGGAAGATTCAAGCAAAACAATACCAAGTGGATTAACATTAGTTAGTTAGAAAGAAAACAACAGTTCAATCTATTGATGTGTATATTCATTGATTAATCAATGTGTTGGAGACGTTAGATCCCCAGAATTCACTTGGAAATATCCTAATTTTGTAATTTTATTTTGAAAATTTGAAGTGTTTGTTTTCGCGCCAAAAGCGCTCTTTTCACCTTCATGTCATATTTCCCACTTGAGAGAATCTTAAACGCTATTGGTCCGTTGTGTCTTTTAGTATGCTACTTTGTACGAATTCCCAAGAACGGTTTTGTGCTATAAATATTCGTTTTGATTTGTGCCTGTTGTGATTGCTCGTGCTTCTAGTTGCTGGCGGACTTCCCTGTTCGGAAAAAAACAATTGCTATAACTTGTGGCCTGTGTGCCCTGTCAATGTATACGTAATGATACCGCCAATTAGAGAACAATGAATTATCGATTGGACCAGTGACGCATAAAAACCATGCAAGCAGTCTAAAGTACTATCGGTCCTGCTTCCTGCCTAGCCCAGCCAGTTAAGTCCAGAACACCTATCTCGGCCTCTGCAATATGAATAATTTATTTCAAGCATACCGGGTTTATGTACCAACCAGACAGACCACACCGTACCATGAAATATGAAGCAACATTTGTACAAGATTTAACCAAATGTGGCTGTGAATGTGGGAGGTAGTAATTAATAGACAGGGCATAATTCATTAATAGTAAATCGTATAATAATAGGTCATTGGTCAAAATAAAGCTTATGATATTATTGTTTATTTTATTTAAACACATAAACATTGGTACAAGGAGGCACCAAATACATATGCGCCACATAAATCATTCAATTTGCATGAGGGCTGTGATACTTCCCGGGTGCCCAGATCGAAGCAGGTGGTTATCTTAGGGGGCCACACCCCGAGCCTTTGACCTAAAGGTCTAACCCACAAGGCAGTGGAGCATCGTGAGAAGATGCATTCCCATGGTAGCCGGTGACCAACAATTGGTTTACACGCCATTTGTTCCCTCAGAATACTGGAGCCCATGTGTACCATTGGTTTGGGATCTGGCTAAAGCGCCGGACATTCGCTTTTCGTCCTCTCATTTTCGTAACCAACACCCCCGCCACGAGAAGGCAGTGAGTAGGACTTCCCTGGCAGAGGCTGTATACGCGTGGTCGTGTGAGAGCGTTTCGAGAGGGAGGGCGGGCCCACCCCACTCTGCCATACCAGGGCATTTGGGGGCCAAGCTTATGATAAGAGGAACACGAATATGAATACTTTAGTCATTTAACAATTATACGATAAAAAATATACGCATAGTATTGGTCCAGAGATGGGTCACAAAAGTTACCATTCATTGTGCTTCTCGAGACATATCACAATTTCAAATTCTATCCAATTTAAATCTGACAGTTGACCAGCAGAATAAATACAACATGTATATGTATCCGTCCCTTAGGAATTTAAGTAACATTTCCCTTCAATAGGTTGTCTCTTTCCATAGAAGAGGAACCTATGTGTTTGTAAGTACGACTGGCCTATTACATAAATTGTAAAAGATAGTTTAGCGAGACTATAATTTATGATTTAATTATAAAACTGTATAGAAAGTCTGGCTATCAAACAAAACTATCAGTATATTTGGTTGTTAAGATAAAAACAATAACTACCGGATATATCCTAGATGTAGCACAACAGAAACCTTGTTTCTGGCTAATGAAATACAGCTACGGTTTGCGGTAAACAGTTCAACTTGACCTAAATCGCTTCTCACGTTCCCAAATGCCGTGGCACGGCTGAGGGTGAGGAGAGTTCATTGTCCCGCTCGTGGCCATGCATATACAGAAACTTCTACAGAATTCCTAATCATAGCCTTCTTGTGGTGGGGGGTTATTTACGAAATTGGAAGGACAGAAAGTGAATGTCCAGCACTTCAACAGGGTTGATGGATATGGAGTACCCACCTGGGGGAGTTGGAAAACCCTAATTCTAAACCAATGGAGCACATGAGCTCCAGGATCCCGAGGGAAGAAATGGCGTGTGAATCCATCGTTGACTACAGGTTGCCATGGGACTGCACCACCTAATGTTGCTCTACCGCCTTGTGGATTAGGCCTCCAAATTGCAGGCCCAGGGTATGACCCCCAGTAAAACCACCACTTCGGTCTTGGGTTCCAGTCAGTAACCCATACCATACACAAACTACAAGTATAATATCTATTTACGCCTTAATTCTCAGTCTCGCGATTCATACTCAAAACTGTTTGTTAATGTTCTCCTATATTTTACATCGCGTCACTTTTCTATCCCCTTATTCCCATTTTGTATATTCCTTTATTCTTCAGCTTCTGCAGCAGCTTGCGTGTGATGGGAACCCTGTCCTATCTAAAGAAGTTCAAGTCCCTGACTGGTTGAAAGTCGAATTCTACCACATAACACAGATTCTGAACCAGTCCTCCTGAATCCATGTACATCATTCCAACTGGATTCTTGCAAAGTTCGCACACTACTTCAGATCGGACAACAGATAGGGTCGGCTATGTCTTCACAAAGTCTCAACATCGAGACTCGTATTCAAGACTAGTGAAGTAGTGCAAATTTAATCTCCATCTGTTGCTTCGAAAGGCTTGTTCCGCGGCGTTTATCTGGTGATGCTCCCTTGTACTAATGTTTATATGTTCGACTAAGTAGATAATAGAATAGACAGATAATACGTGAAAAGATTTATGAAGTGATCACATTTAAGGCCAGAAAAAATAAGCCTATGACTATAAAGGATTTCTGGGCTGCTGAATGTCATATTAGCCTACATGGTTTTAGCTGTTCCACATGTGAAAGACTATTCACTTAAAATCAAAAAGCAGGTTATTCTATATTTTCATAACTGAAAAATATATCTGGGAGTATCTGACTGAGATCGGTTTAGTTTCTAACAAGTTTTATTTGTTTTCTACTAACAATAAACAGAAAATAGGAAGCTTCGGTCACTACATTTTCAAATGATTTGATAAATAAAATTATGAATGAAAGATCAGATCCAACAAAAATATATCTTCCAAAAATAGCATAGCCATATACATAACACAGTAAAGCTAGATGGTGTTCATAGTTTACTAATATTTATTCGTCGATCCCTTCAAAGTATTGTTTCCTTATGCTGAGACCATCAAGACAACGATGTTGAATTTAAAGTTAGATACTACGTAAATATGGCAAATCAGTTGATGGGGCTGTGAGTCTTCATCCATTGAAGTAATTCATAATCCCCAACTACCGGTCAATTCGATGGGTGATGTTTACCAGTGTAGGAGGAGGTCGTAAGAAAGAAAACAGTCGCCAAACCAAAGCGTCGCATCGGCAAATCTTCGTCAACAGTTAGACTAAATCATGTCGATAGATGGAGATTGCCAGGTTAGGGTCTGTAAAATTGTCGTAACTGATTCTTAAAGACAATGATTCTAATTGGCTCCGAATCGGTCACGACGACACAGATATCTTGAATTTTAATATTATCTTGAACTCTCTAACATTCGAATCATTTTGTCTATGACCCATATTTTCTACATCTCTACACACTGTTATTACTTCTACTACTTTGGTATTTGTTTTGGTAATTTCATTCTGCTCTGTTAACCCAGTATGGCAACTTGTGGTCAACATACAGATGCTAGTAAATACCTTTGTTTTAATTATATTTCAATCAAACATTATGGCATAGAAATCTGTTTACAAATTATAACATTACAGATTACAACTAAGTAATAATAATAAGCAAAATCGATCAACAAGCTCCAAAGTCAAATTTATTAGTTGAGTATTACAATGTCAAATTCATTTTGTATTGTTTGTTTGGATCTTCCCGTTGATGTTCAGGATCGCAATTGGTCAGCCTCTTATTGGCATATGTGCATCTTGTGCGGATTGCTTTTACATTACCTCAAGTCGCAAGCATTATCGGCAAAGATGAATGACGTCTAGCAGTGGGATCCAGGAGGCGCGTTTCGTTCTATTTCGGACTCGTCAATTGGACGTACCTGTATCCCAGAAGCGAACGGTACTGGACTCGAGTCCCAGAATGAACACCAACTCTGGGATGCAGTCACATCCAGCTGACGAGTCCCAAAGAGGATGAAACGCGCGTCCTCAATCCCGCTGCTAGCCACCATCCATCTTTGCTTATTACAATGTTAATTTAAGAAAACCTAAAGCAATAAAATATAAGAAAGTTTAATAAAAATAATATCTATTTTATTGCAAACGAAATGTGTACAGTGACAGAATATTTTTCAAATAATCCAGTTGAAACCATACAACTGTTTGTTTCTAACTCCTACATTATTTTGAATAAATCACCACAGGTAAGTGTAGTTTTCAAACAAGAACTGAAGTCGTTTGAAACTGATTTTCAGCTTAGGTGATGGATGTTTGTTCATCAGTCAAAAATCGCAAACTACGATGAAACAGTTGGTTATTAATGTGGCTCCCCAACCCACCTCGGCTACTAATGGCACTTACACTAGTGAATATTAGTAACTATGATCAAGACTGTCAGCGAAAATGTAACCAGACAGAAAAACATCTTGATAAAGCTTTGAAAAGTTTCAAAAGATAAAGAAATAAATGTAGTGTTTTCTCTCATTCTCTCTCTGAAATGACTAGAAACAGTTTGTTTGATCCAGGGGAGAAAGAGAAGGACAATGGCGGTAATACTGTAGTTTGTTGAATAGATTTCTTATTTACAAGACCAAAACCGTTCATATTCTTTCAATGCTTTACGAAAAGCCCCCGTGTGCACACCATTAGGTACGTGATGGCTGTGAACACCTAGACTTTTTACTTCTTTGATATTCCATTGTAAATCATCGAAAAATATCATTTTATTGTATGGAATTTTAGTCTTTCGTTGAAGTCTGTAAAGAAAATGAAAATAAATTATATAAATGCACATGAAAATGTATGGTATTGTAATATTAGGCACTAATATAAGTTGGAAAGTACCGAATTTGAATTTTATGATTATTTGTATACTCTATTATAAATCCACACGCAAACACAAGTTGAAAAAGGACCATTTAATTTAGTAATCTAAGTGTCGTACTCCCCATATGACCTAAAAGTTCCATTCCGTGTGCAATTTTGAGGACTTGTAAACAAATATGAAACAACTGTCCTTGTCTACTTAGTTTTTCAGTCCGTGTCAATCTTTCATAAGTTCTTATAACGGGAAGAGAAAAGGAGAATAACAAACTATGCAACCATAAACTGTCGTCGTATCATATTCTATTCTCAAATGGTTGTAACCTAATCATGAGTCATCCGAAGTATCTTCATTTTCGCACGTATTTTATTTTATAAGTTATTTTGATTGATGATTTATATATTTATTCATGTACTTTGTTAGATTGTTCTTCGTAGATTCTTCAGATACGGACTTTTGTCCCATTATCTTCACGCTACTCTCCTCATTGGTTTAAACGGGAACGTGAGTCTGAGCAGCCAGTCAGCGTCGACCCAGCAGATTACTTGGTTAGTTGTTAGGATAGGCTGCCCACAAAGTCAATTTATTCATAATCGAATTCACACGTGTTGTCACAAGGTTGTGGGAAGTAGCCTAGTGTATCGAAGGTATTAATAAGCCTCGAATCAATTTCCTTCCTTATCCAAGGTCAGTAAACAGTTAATGTCTTCGAGCTAAAAGAATTTCGAAAAACCACTCAGCTAAGCATTAAAAATAACTGTTTACCTTTTATCGGCTAACCGAAGCAAAATCATACGGCCTTAAATTGAAAACGACGTCAAAGTCATTGGTTAGACCGCAGGACAATTCGAAATTAACTATTTGTTTGACAGCAACGTAACTAACCAAATATGAGCAACACTTTTTATGTAAAGGTTAGTGATACAATGTGGCTGCCTAAACCCAACTAGGTAGTACAGAATATAAAACTGTTACCTAAAATTGATCTAATTAGTTGTGATGGAACATCCTAACTTACTCATGGTAGGCAATAACAGATATTAACTTATGGTGATGCTACCTTGATTGATGGTCGTGGCCTCGCATATCATGATGACAGTCGAGCTATATTGGTTTGAGAGAGGTAAAACTAAAAGCAGGGAACTTAGGGTCCTACGAAAAAGTCCTACTGTAGACTGTGCCACGGGGTGTAACGGCAGTAAGGTTTTATCTTTAGTTAATCACTATTCGTAGCAATGATGTTATTCAACAATGAACGGTCAAGCAACAGCCAAAGTTGTTATATTACATTACGAAAGTGATGAATAGCAAAAAGATTTAAATAATAGTAGTACCAATGATAGTAAGAAAGATTAGATATAAGAGAATTTTATTCGAAAAGAAGGGATGAATTCGAGGGATAAAACGTACTAGATAATATTGAAGCTGAAGACTTAGGGGAAAAGCAAAAATGACAGGATCTGAGCCATAAAAAATTGTGACCAGTTCTAGACCATACTATCTAGCGTCAGGTTTGAACAATTAGATTAAATTTCTTTTGACCAAGTCAACAAAACATCATAGTCAGGAAACAAGGTTCATACATTCACAATCGAGCAACACATACTAATTCGAATGATCTGAGTGCCTAAGCCAAGTTGACATGGTAATTGAAAATTAAGTATTTCAACTTGTATACTAATAGCTGACTACACACACACACATCATATCAGTCGAAATACTTAGGAGTAATGATTGATGCTAACTGGATCAATATTAGTCACATTTACTTAAATTATTATTGTGCTAAACGAGAATAAAATTTCTACACACAAAAATAAATTGAGTAATAGGAGACAATAAAGATGGAAACCAAATTAATATGATTTAGTTTGAAAAAGAACAACACCGGTAAAGTTGAATACCTTGAATATACATTCATCGGTTAAAAAAAAGTACTTTCATCGACCTTCACTGTACAAGAAAGACAGGAAAGAAAAATATGTATATGAAATAGAACACATATAGTGTGGTTATCAGTGAGAGACGCGCATTTCGATCTACTTAGGACTCGTCATTTGAATGTCTGATACATTCCAGTACTGATTTCTGCATATCTCAACAATGACTGATCAAAATTCACTCCTAAATATCAGTAATGAGATTTATACCCTTAATAATAGTGACACGTTTATGTGATATTGAATAATGTTAAATGATCGAATCATATATGGATTTTTACAGCAATCACTGCTATTACGTAATCATCATATGAATGCATACCACTAACAACATTTTTCCTTAATCACCATAAGTTGTTTTTACCTTAAAGGTTTGTTGGACTATACAAAAAGTCGCGAAAAAGTAAAACAGGAATGATTTAAAGATCAAACATGTGGATAACTCTCAATGTCACTTTTTTAAATCTTACAGGTATTGTCCACGAAAGAGACATTAGCAACATGATCTAAAAAGAAAGTTGCTGAACTCTTTTAGTAAGCCTTTTAATTTATAATTGTTAATACTCATATTCCATTGCAAGAAGTGATACCGAAATGAGATCTGATAGTCAGGTTTTGGTTCGTTTGAATAATATTCTACAAAATTTGGAATCATCAATCGTCTAGTCTTCAAATCGCTTTTAATCATGCATGTGTTTGACAGTTCTATGCACATTTAGGTCATTTTCGTCCAGAGCCCTCGATAATTCCTTAGAAAAGTCCGCAGAAGCTGAGAAATTAGTGAAAAGACTCCGATTAACAAATGCACTTTAAAAACTTTTAGTAGATGCCTAGAAAGCTGAGTGATTTAATTACTACCGGATTTGTTACCACTTTTAATATGTTTTCCAGAATCTTTTAAAAAATTAAGGTCATATAATACCCTCATTTTTCGTATAGAAACTAGATCTATCTATCCTCTTACTTTCCATTTATCTTCTGTTCGGGGTACAACAGTAAAAGAGAGTTTAGGTGCGATACATATCAATTTTACGAAAAAGACACTGCGTTTGTGAGCATCGCCTGATATCGGTTTATTTATGGAGTTGCGTCGACAATTTAGTCTCGTGAGTGGTTATGAGTTAACACAAAATCATTTTTCTAATGAATCATCTATTGACTAATATTTCTCACTGATCACTTTCATAGGCAAAATACGTTGCTCATCATCATTAGAATTCTAAACAATCCTTCTCTATTACAGAGAAGGAATTGAATTGTTCACATTACTCACACTACTAACATTATACATTAGGCTATGTGATACACACATTCATTTAATTATCCGACCGTTCGATGGAGAATTAAATTAGACCAAAATAGTTTATTAACACAAGTAAAAAGCACTCGGTAAATAAAAGCAAAGTGGAGTGAACGTTCCGATTTAAGACGGCCATTTATATTTAGTGTAGCTGGACACGTCTATTTTCAACCATTGATCAATCACATATCACTCTGACTAGATACACCAATAACAGAATCAGCGGACTTATCATACTTACATAAAATGTAGCAAAAATATTTATCAATTTATATCGTATCACCGCATTTTATACAAGAACAGTGAAAGATGAAAGGGTGAATGAAGTAATTACTTAAATACGTTTTGATTAATTAGGTCAACAAAAACTATGTTGTATTCAGTGGTTTGTTTTAGTTACGACATACTTACTACGGTATGTTAAACGCATTATGTAGATGAGAAGGTTAAAATAATTAGGGAACTTTAGTTGTCGAACCAATTTTCAATGTAAGACAATCACAGGTGACATATATGGTTGTCCTTCTGATAAGAACAAAGAAATTTACGCAGAAACCTTGAGTGAATGCATAATCAGCTTCCTCCCGTAGAGTACCTCGTTTGTAATTTTCCATCTAGAGTTTGACCCTGAGATAGTATGTGAGGCTATGGGAAGTAACATGTTTATACTCACACAGTCAAACTGTTTTTCTTAGAATTAAAATTTTTTTATGTAAATACAGCCGATACCTAATATTTCTGCTACCAAAAGGCATAATACTATCTCCCTAAGCGGTTTCAATAAACTCAACTGGGACAGTAAAAGGAAAGCTCAAATTGCAAGTAAAGCTTCAAATTTCGTTTATGTACAGAAAAAGCGAAAGTATTTATAGAGGTACGGGCGACCTTGAGCTTCCAAAAATTTTCGGAACCATATTGAATAAAGTAACAGTATAAGGGAATATCCAATCAAAACTGTGGCATGTAATTCGATATTTTCTAGGTGTATCTGCGATACTTTTATTCAACGTTAATTGGATAAACGTTTTCTGAGCCTCTAGAGACTTCAACGAGGGATTTTTTCGAACTCGCCAACTATATCGTATCCGTGAACAATTTGGAAACGCGAAATAACTATAAGCAAAATCTATCAACCAAATAAAAGAACAAAACAGTACAGCTGACTGAACAAACAAGTGTAGTCAAATAGAATACAGGTGTTTAATCGATTCTACTTTCAGATCAATCTGTGACGAATACAATCTACCACTTATACAAATCTTTGAAAAAAAACCTCCAAATAAACTACAATAGTCAGGGAATCAGTGACTTGCTTCAAGATGCTACCACTAAAGCTTGGTGATAAATTTTGACTGGCGAGTTCAGATATCGTAAGATTGAAACAATTGTAATTGACATTGGATTATCCTTTCTCTACATTACAATTTAGTTACAACTAGAGTTGTATCATTGGACGCCGATAGTAATTCTTATCATATTCCTATGTAATCTATCTTTTGCTTGACGGATGTGTCATTCTAATCTGATCAAGTATTTTTCGATCTTGTACACAAGTATAGTTTTTTATCAACATTGTAGGCCTATTGCGCTTATTTTTGTGGGCTTAGCCATTCACCTGTATAGAATAATATCCTTTACAAGATTTGTGTCCTGACGTTAGTAAATACTTGTCTGTGTATCTTATAAGTTGTCATTTGACTATTAAAGCTAAGTCACTCTTAATTCAATGATCTTTTATGAAACCTATTTTCCAAATTCACTTACTATGAGCTTCGTTTCTTTTCTACTATTTAGATGCTCGAAATACAAGTATTCTCCATACATTTTGCATTCGGTTATTTCCCGTTGCGGTTACATACGAAGTTAGTAAGGAGATACATACTTTTGTAGCCCATTAATTTGACTCCAGTCAGATCGTATGATGATGTTATCGAAATATACATCCCGGTTACCCTCGTTCATAATTATCGACGGAATTCACGTTAGAAAATAACGAAATAAGTCAAATAGGAGAATGGATTTCGAATAGCTATATTTCGTACACCCGTTGATCCAGACAGACATTCAGAATGAAAAGCGAGAAATCAAAGAGAAGCGAAGAAGGAGAGTGAGCCAACCCAATTCGATCAAGCGCGACTCAATATATATAGTCAGACAAAAATAAGCCACAGACATGTGATGAGTAGGATAAGTAATGCACACACAAGCCTATATAAAAAGTCAAAGTTAAGAAGCGAATAATTAACAAGGTCAAGAAGAATGAATGAGTTGGTCTATCGGGAAGCCAGAATAACCCATGTGAACTTGACATGGTACCAGACACTACGATACTTCATTAGCTTTATTGTTTACCATCCGACATAGAGTCAACACTCGGGATAATAAACCTGGTTAGTGATTTCAATGGTTAGGAGTTTGGTGAGGGAGGTGGAAGTCCCACTTCCGATCCCTGGCGGGTTCGTTGGTGTAGACTGCTGAGGAATCCCATACCAAGACGAAACGGATGTTTAGTGTACGCTGATTTTCAATGAGATAAATATATGACGAACATAACCAACATGTCCCAATATATACTCTAAATGTACAACATTAAAGGAAAGAAGTTACAATAACCTAATTTAAAAAGTCACCTTCGTAAAATGTAAGGATAAAACAGTAACCATACTACGTATATGGGCTCAGACCACAATATTATTAAATCTTAATAAAAACGACTGTGTTCATTGGAGTTTTCAGTTGGGCCACGATAATTGTGTTGGGGACGGTATATCCCAAAAATTCATATTTGTAATTTTATTATATCGATTAACTTATTGATTAAATATTTAAATATTTGAATGGCAGTCAGTTGATGAAGTTATCGATTAAATTTTTAAATAGCAGACAACTGATGACTCATTGATTATTGTTTAAAAGAATTTCCTATGACAAAATCGATATATATTTGTATAAATACGCTTGACTTGTATGCTTGATCTGATCTGCCTGCCTGACTTGGTATCTGCTGTTGCTTGTAGAATACACTTTCTACGCCTTACCAAGACTTCTTGATCGAGTTAGCTGAGTCGAAGACAACGGACCAGAATAGTCTATTGAGTCTCTGAATCCTGAGCCTTCGTTCCGTTCCGAATAAGTCGAATCAGTAGTATCCTCAAGGTTAACCAAACCTAACAAATTGCGAATTAAGGAAAGATTGAACTATCCCTGATATGAATGGTCCTATTGCGAAATCGATAACGACAACCATCACACAACGCTTTAACATTTAGCTATGAGCACAAAAAGGAAAAGTCTCAGAAAAACTTGACATTGAGCAAAACAACTTGAAATAGTACAACTCAATATACATAGTAGTAAAAGCACGACTCTAAAGCGCAGAAAATTAGTTTGCTAAAAGTAGTGACAACAACAACAAAGACGGACTAATCCCGTGATCTCCTTAGCAAATATATAGGATGAATGTAGAGTAGGTACAAAGAATTTACAAGCTTATTACTATATTTGGTACTCATGAGTAATTTAACAAATGATAATAATCATAATAACATGTATATATCCTTACAGTGATGAAACGGTAATAGCTGTTCCGTTAAAAGACAAAAAGTAGCTTTTACAGAGAAAAAGCCCACATGAATATCACTACTACTAATAAATGTGATTTATTCTTTACCAGAAAAAAAGTAACCTTCAATAAGTATTACTACTCCTTAGATAATATATAAAGTTAGAATTTATCACTGCTGTATTATACAGCGTAAAAACTGTTCTCGCTACCACTACTACTGTGGTGCGTGCTGCTTATATTGATATAAGTAGTATATGACGCGAGTTAAAGAACGTAATGTCTGGCAGAAGAAGATGGGGAAAGATCAAGAAAGGAAGAGCGACAACACAATGATATTGGTAAGAAAACGCATGAACAATGAAATGTGAGACAATTGGTTAATGTTTGCAACAAGAACAGTCCAGGTTGATATGATGCATTGATATTTTGCAAATTAACGATTTACTATATCGTTTTTCTATTTTACCAATTAACTCTGTAATTTTGTGCTGAATACAATTCGGTTGTCCTCACCTGTGTTCTCCTTCACTACACTACGACTACTACTACTATCACACTGTGTTTTGTCAAGTGACTTTAATTTTATTGTAACAAAAAACAACACATGTTTAGATAACCATAAAACTGTACGCTTAATTGAAATTCATTCTATTTCACATTAATTCAATGTTGGATATGAAGAAAAAAAGAGAATTACCAAGTAACTTTTAAATTCAAGGTGTAGATGCTTTTGAATTAGATTAATTCTCTAGTATTTTTCTCTTTCATTTTTATTTACAATAGCTCATTTCTAGATCAAATTAGTAGTTATTATTCTCAGTACGTTAAACTATTTATTTTTGATTGGTTAGTTAATCACAGTAATTTGGAATAATCTAACATGTATTTGTATAGGGAAAGATGGTGTATTTTTATGGGTTGAGATTTGAAAATCTCAGCCTTAATGTGAATTTGAAGTTTCATACCACAAAATGATTTTGATTAGACTACCACTGAAAACCAGGAAGCATCAAACAGTTGTTTTGTCTTATTATGGGACTCCTCGACAATATGCATCTACTACTCAACGAGAAATCAAACCCACGACCATCGAGTATAGCAGTGAACTCTTAACTTTCAGACCAATGAGTTGGCATCCAGTTGTTTACAGTTTGAGTTTAAGTCAATTCGCAATATTGCGCGACCATCATCCACTTCCACTGGAGATATTTGTCTGAGGCTCAATATCGTTAAATACCGCTGATCATGGCATTTTTACTGGAACTCCGGGGAATTACCTCTCGAAATTAGTCACTAGTAAGCACTGTTACTGTTACCATAGGATTTTGTGGAGACTATTGGAATTGGAGTTAAACAACGGAATAAATTTGGTTAGACTACTCCTGAAAACCATGAAGCCTACTTATTTAGGCGTGTTACCTCTCATGGAGGACCATAGGCCGCTCAGCAGCATTCCCTATCGAACTAGGAAGCACTGGATAGCTAGTTTTTCCAAGTATAGGAATCCTCATCAGTGTACGTTAACAACCTGTAAATTCAATTTGTTACATTGAAAAATTTATATATATTATAAGATAGATTCAAACTTACGTCTGGAAGTGAACAATTTTACTGTTTGGATATATTTCCATATGATCGAATAATTTATCCCAACCATTTAGGTAAACTAACTGACGAGCTGTTTCCACCGAAGGGGTCCTATATTAATATTTAGGAAAAGTAGTAGAATAACTAGTGGAGATCAGGACGAAATAAGATCACACTAAACTGAATGTCTTGTACAGTTCGAAATAATGAAAAAATAAGAGTGAACAAGGTGAGATCATAACTTCAATTGCTAGGGAATATGATCGTTTCTAGTGTTAAGCTTGTTAAGTTGAGAAAGATAATGATGACGGAGATATTCATCTGTCAAATACTGTAGAAGACGTCGGTAAAATCAAGTAGTAAATTCTAAGCACAACTATCGGATAATTAGGTGAATATATCTATGAAGGTGGAAATTTTTTAAAATTAGTCAATCAGTGAACATCAAAGTAAAATCTATTGCGAGTGTGCATCGATACATTTCCCACATATCGAAACAACATACATCGTAACTCAAACCTAACTTGAATGGAGAAATAAACATTAGAAATGCATTTTAGAGTCAGTCAGCTATAAGTAGTTTAAAACCAGAGACATTTATGCATTAGTCCAAGCTATCATGGCATATCAGTACAACGAGATGAAATTATTAGGACAAATTTTAAATAGAAGTGGTCAATCACAGACAATATGATTCCAAAAGAGAGAATAAATTCGCGGAAGAAGAGAGTAAAAGATGATTTTAAAACTCAAGATCTTAGAGAAGACGAGGAGTAAATGAGTCTGAGTCACTAAAATTGATTTTGAGCCATTTCACCTGATATCTGCAAAAAAACAGTTCAGAAAGTTTAAAAATCGAAGAATATAAAGTTAAGGATTAGACCTAACTCCAAACTTAAAGGAAGATAGACAATAAATCCAACTATGTTACTGAAGTCGCTTTTATGCCGTATCGCTTGATATCTCCAACCACTGGGTATGAGTACTGCGTAAATTATAAACTTCTAAACACAAAACATACAAACTACTCCATGACTTCTCCCAAATACCAAAAGCTTAAAAACAGGGTTAACAGGATCCTGGACTAGTTATTTGAAGATTTTTGCTGAGATCGCGGTAACGGGTCCATCTCCGGTTTCGACAACAGGACAGTATCACTAGCCTTCATATCAAAATTGTGATTCGATCCTACATATATGAAATTTAACTTGGTTGCTGAACTAAATTTTTGTGGGTCAATGACTACTAATTCTGTATACTATGAGTTCTATTGAGTAACTTAGTTTGCGTCAGTCAGTCAGTCAGTCAGTAACAACGTAGAACTTCGTACGTACGTACATCAGTTCGAGTTGCCACACCACATTAGCACAGAGATGCACTTGTCGATTCAAATCCCGTAGTGGTAGAGGTAATAAGAGTATAAGCATATGTCCAAAGAAAACGCCACCGACTTTAATGATTGACTCCATGTTTTTCCGGCTATCCTTAACTATACTTTAGTTTATTTGAACTTTAGCCATGGTAAACTGTGTCAGCACACAGAAGGCATCATATATTGGTTAATTTTCAGTGTAGATCGATAAGTTTACCTTGATTACCTAATTCGGTAGCTTAAAACAGAAACGAAGGTCAAAATCTAATAGGCAGAAAGTAGGTTACAGTAAAACGATCAGATAGAAAACCTAATAAAATGGGAATAAGCAGATGTACAGTAATAGTACTTTTAAAAGACCGAACGATTAGTACATTTATATTATTGTCATCGATTTTTTAAAATAATATTTATAACCAACACTTTAAATAATGATGGTTTTCTAAGCGTCAATAAGTGAGTTAAAGCATTTGACTTACAGTCATCAGGTTGTAGGATGAAATTCGGTTCTGTCAGCTTCGGTTTTATTAGTAGTCTTTACACAAAGTCTATGGCTTGCACCGAGACGGATTGATTTATTCTTAATTAATAAGTTGTACTAACTAGGCTTCTAAATCTAAGAAGTGAATTTGTTTTTTTTATAAAAAACGGCACAATATTTCATGAACAGTATTCTGAAAGTTCTTCATTTTGACTCTATCCAAACTAAGTAATAGCCAAGCATAGGCAGTACATTTCCTAACTATTCCCATCGATACATTTAGACAACTACTTTAATCACAATTAGTTTGAAGTTGTGGTTCAGTGGTTTAGATGTTTACCCACGAACAGCACTGGAAGATAGTTAAGAAATATCGAAGCTAGAAATGTAAAGCGTTAGATCCTAACATGAGGGTCTAAATGTAAACCTGATGGTTTCTGGTGAGGTCACGGATGGTCATTGTTGCGAGGTCCCGTGCTAGGACAAAACATCTGTACATTGCTTCCTAGTTTTCAGTGGTTGTCTAAAGTCAATTTGTGATGTACACGAAGAAACTCACTAATTTCCGCAAACCCATTTATACTAATTCATATACTACTCTTATTATAATGTTGAAATAAAACTAACATTTGAGAACCAAGAAACTAACCTTGAAGCACATGCCAATAGTACATCCTTTTCTTGTTTGATAGATTTCAATATATTATTTGAATCTTGAAGTATATTTAGTGGGTAATTATTTTCATCATAAATCATATCACCACTATTAACAATGATAGATGAACACACAAACTTACTTTTTGTGAAAAACTTGACTATCGTAAATGTCACAGTCAAACGGCCATAATGTACAATCTGATGGTTTTTTATCACTTATGTAGCAAAAGAAACTAACCTAAGTCGAATACAATAAGTCCAGGCTTGATGCTTATATTATCAAATAGTCTTTCAGTTGTCATTGATGATCACAATAAATCCATGTTGACCTTCACTGACGATTTTCAGGATGACTGAAAAAATTTTTTATTGATAATGAATGCAAAAATCGTTTGTGATTTAGAGTCTTATTATGATCATCTATCAAGAACAGGTTTGCGTACGCGGTTTGAAGTAACGATTCATGTGCGATATCTGATACTACTAATCGACTCCTTAAGTACAACAAGAAAAAGTAGAATTTCATTGTGACCCAATGGTTAAAACTTAAATACTATGATCAGTTGACCACTGTTCCAGCATGGTTTAAATTAGAAACCTACTAGGCCGTACAGTTGACTTAGAATCGTGGAAAGAATCTAAATGCTGAATATATTTGAGGTTTGGTAGTAACAGCCGATAGATTGGATAGTCACCCCGACTAGTTCTTATTATAGAATGATATCAGCTTGAATGGTACCATATTTTATTAAATATCCTTAGCTGACATCTTCCAGAAGACATCGGAAGTGCTTAAAAATTTTGGGTTTTGAAGATACAGAACATGTTTCATCAAAAGCGATTGAAAATTCCATCAAATATCAAATAGGTATTTCAATTATACAAGGCCTAATATGATCCAATCTCCTTACTTTTGGGGAGCTCTTAAAGAAAAACGCCAAAATTTCTTTTGATATGGAGCTTTTTTCGAAATAGAGAGTTCATCATTTGCGATAAGCTCTCTAACGTCCCGCTTATATGCACTGGGTTTCTTCAGGTTCTTTACAACTCATTGAAGCCCGTCGGTCTACTCCGGGTGACCGTGAGTTTAACCACAAACGAAGGATGTTACGTAAGGAAATTGGGCAAAGCTTGAGTAAGGACCGAGAAGCCTGGTGGTCGGAGCGTGCTAATGAGTTGGAAGCAGCAACTGCATCTGGTAATTACCGGAAGCTCTTCCAACTCATCCAAGCCACTGGCAGCAAGAAGTCCGGTGTGAGCGAAACAATCTGAGAGGATGATGGGATGCCAATCACTAGCATCCATCGACGTCTTGGACGATGGGCAGAATTTTTCGAAGAGCAGTTCAACTGGGCTTCTGCTCCGGCAACATCGGTCAGACTGTCCTGCCCCCCATGGCCGGTGACGACTGATCCACCAAATGAGGCGGAAGTCCGCAAGGAACTCCAACTCTTGAAGCGTTACAAATCCCCTGGCCCAGATGACTTACCTCCGGCTCTTTTTAAAGATGGTGGTGACTTTCTGACTAAGGAATTGACGACGTTGTTTACAAAGGTTTGGGAACTAGAGAGTGTACCAACGTCATGGAATGAGTCGATAGTTGTCCCTATCTTTAAAAGGGGTTCACCTCGTTCCTGTAACAACTATCGGGGGATAAGTCTACTTACGATTGCGTCCAAGCTATTGGCTTTCGTCATACTTCGTAGGTTGTTCAAAACCCGAGAAAGATTGACTCGCGAGGAGCAGGCTGGGTTTCGTTCTGGTCGAGGATGTATTGATCATATCTTCACCCTCCGCCAAATGTTAGAACACCGCCATACTTATCAAAGGCTAACAATCGTAGTGTATCTTGACACCAGGGCTGCCTTCGATTCGTTGGATAGGACTGTTCTCTGGGATTGTCTATTGAAGAAGGGTGTGCCTGAGAAGTTTATTAACATCCTAAAAGCCTTATATACAAACACCTCAGGCAGAGTGAGGGCACACAACCACCTCTCTCCATTGTTCCATTCGAGCAATGGGGTTAGGCAGGGTTTCCCAATCTCACCATTCCTCTTCAACTTTGCCACCGATGACATTCTGGAAACAGCTCTGATGGATGTAAGTAATGGTGGTGTGGATCTGTTGTCTGGAGAAAGACTTCTCGACCTTGAGTATGCGGATGACATTGTCTTACTGTGCGATAATGCCCAAGGCATGCAATCCGCACTTAATCAGTTGGCAATCAGTGTCCGTAGGTATGGTATGTGCTTTGCACCTTCGAAGTGCAAAGTACTTCTACAAGACTGGCAGGATTCTAATCCTGTACTCACCCTGGATGGTGAGCAGATAGAAGTAGTCGAGAAGTTCGTGTATCTAGGTAGCTGCATAAGTGCTGGTGGTGGCGTGAGTGATGAGATCAATGCACAGATAGTGAAAGCCAGAGCGGCTTATGCCAATCTGGGCCACCTTTGGCGCCTTTGTGATGTTAGTCAGGCTGTAAAAGGTCGAATCTACAACGCGTCGGTGAGAGCAGTTTTACTCTATGCTTGTGAAACCTGGCCTCTCTGAGTTGAGGACGTTAGAAGACTCTCTGTGTTCTATCATCGTCGTCTCCGAAGGATTGCTGACATCCAGTGGCAACACCATGTCAGTAAAGCAGAGGTTCGGCATCGTGTGTTCGGGCACAGAGATGATAATGCAATCGATGTCACCATCTTGAAACACCGACTTTGGTGGCTTGGACATGTTCTACGAATTTCGTCCCAGAGAATTCCACCTCGTGCATTATTTGCCGACTTTGGGACTGGTTGGAAGAAGCGGAGAGGCGGTCAGTGCATGACATGGTGTCGTGGCATGAAAGAAAGCTGCAAAGGACTGGCTTCTGTTGGTCCTTCACGACTCCCTGGTTGGGGTCCGAGAGATGCTGCTACACAGTGGCTAGAGACGTTATCAGATATGGCTCAGAATAGAAGACAGTGGCGATCCTGCTGCAACCTTTTTTACTTCATAAAAAGTGGTTGTGTCTTCCCTAACTGAAAGATTTCTTTTGATTGTATCTTTCCGTTCCCTCATTATTACTACACTACCTTACACCAACCTCTTGTTTATTGTTCTCCTTTTTTTCTTTTTTCCACACTCCTTACCTTTTTTTCTTTCTTTTCGAATTCTCATTGTTTTGTGTGGCGCATATATATTAGCGCTGTCTTGTACCAATATTTATGTGTTCAAATAAATAAAGAAATTTTTCCAAAATTTGTTTGGGGGAAATCCTCAACACTTTTGAGAAAAAGTGTTGTTTTCGCCAACATCTCTCACGAAACTTTAAATGACTGAGTAAATCCATTTGTGTTCTTTGATAACTTGCCTATGGATATATGTTGAGTGTTTCCGTCAGAACCGACACACTTTATATGCTTAGGCATGGCTGAAAACTTCTCTATAAAATAATCTAGCCAGCATGCGACTAAAGCGAATGCATCCACCTATTTTCGCCATAGAGACTCGAAGCTTATTTAGTACTAGACCTAACAATATAGTTATAGCGAATTGAAAGACTAGGTTCATCACCCAAGTTGTAGAGGGTGGCAGGATTAGGTTTCGGCCATTAAGAGAAGATACTCATAAGTTACCAGTATTTGACCACAGATGTCCTAGAAATATTACTCTCATCTGTTGGAATCACTGGGTAAGTAATAGTAGGGTTAGGCTCAGGGTAACAGGGAATGATGGTAAATCAGTTGATGAGGTTGTGAATCTTCATCGGCTGAGATGGTTGGGTCGCGTGTTACGTATACCTGAACACCAATTACCACGACTCTCAATGTTGACTAGTGTTGGGGATGGTTGGAAGAAAGTTCAGTCAGTCAGTCAGTCAGCTACAATGTAGGACCAGGCACATATGTGCATCGGTCCAGGTTGCCATACCTCATTAGCACAGCAAGATGAACAGCGGATTCATAGGAGTGGTTAGGTCAAAGGTTGCAATAAGGATATAGTATAGGAAGAAAGAATTAGTTCGTAGACAGAAAGAATGAAGTGATTTTAGTCTCTTAGTTTAAGGGAAGACAGGGAGTGTATACACCGACGCCATTGTGATCGATTCTGAGCCATGTCACCAAGAGTCTCCAACCATTGGTTACGAAAGTCACGCGGACCCCAACCAAGTAGTCTGCATCTACCAACATGGCTCAGACTAGAAGTTAGTGACTTCAGGCACTGATGCCACGTTTTGGTTTGGCCGCCCCTAACTTTCTTCCAACCATCCCCTACCCCGGTTAGCATTGCACGTCGTGGTAATTGGTGTTCAGGCATACGTAACACGTGGCCCAACCATCTCAGTCGATGAAGATTCATAACCTCATCAACTGATTTACCATCATTCCCTAATACCCTGCGTCTAACCTCACTATTACTTACCCGGTGATCCCAGCAGATGCCAGCAATATTTCTAAGGCATCTGTGGTCAAATACTAGTAACTTACGGGTGTCTTCTACTCTTAAGGGCCATGTTTCGCTGCCGTAAATTAAAACAGAACGAACTGCCGCGCAGTATACTCGTCCTTTTAATGATAGACGGATATCTTGCCTTCGCCAAAGGTGACGTAAGTTGGCAAAAGCCAAACGAGCTTTTCGAATCCGTGCTGAGATTTCGTCAGACACCAACCCATTAGGGCTGATCAGACTTCCAAGATAAGTGAAGTTGTCAACGCGTTCAACTACTTCACTCCCTATCCTTAGTTCAGGTGTTGACGCAGACCAGTCCTGAAGCAACAACTTGCATTTTGAGGAAGAGAAGCGCATCCCAAACATTCTGGCATTGTTGCTTAGTGCTGCCAGAAGACTCTGCATTTTGTCAGCGTCTTCACCAAACAGGACTATGTCATCTGCGTATTCTAAGTCGATAAGTGGACCTCCTGGAAGGAGATCAATACCCGAGAATTCAGTCGACGAGAGTGTTATTTCCATCAATAGGCGGCCAAACCTGTTGGGGACGATAGATCCCCAAAACTCATATTTTGTGATTTTATCTTATCGATTAAATGTTTAAATGATTGAATGGCAGTCGATTGATGAACTTATTGAGTAATGTTTAAAAAGTTTTACCATGACAATATCGATTATAAATATTTGTATAAATACGCTTGATTTGTGTACCTGATTGACCTGGTATCTGCTGATTACCCATAGAATACACCTCTATGTCTTACCGAGACTTCTTGATTGAATTAGCTGAGTCGGGGACAACGGACCAGAATAGCCTATTGAGTCTCGGAATACTTGATCCTTCGTTCCGTCCCGAATAAGCCGAATCAGTAGTAGCATTCAAGTTTAATGAACCTAACAAAACCAAACACGGCATCAGCCCATAAAGTCATTCAATTCTAGTATGAGCCATGTTGGTAGATGTAGACTACTTGATTGGGGTCTGCGTGACTTTCTTAACCAATGGTTGGAGACTCTTGGTGACATGGCTGAAAATTGATCACAATGGCGTCGATGTTTACACTCTTTGTCCTCCGTTAAACCGTGAGATTAAAATTGTTTCATATCTTTTTCTACGAAATAATTCTTTCCTCCTGTACTATATCCTTATACACAATCCTTCTTTTATATATTACAACCATTGAAGTGAATACTTCCATGAATTTGGTGCTCATTTTGTTGTGCTAATGAGATATGGCAACTTGAACCGACGCATATAAGTGCCTTAAGTGTCTTCGGTTGCAGCTGACTGACTGGCTGATACACAAACGCTTTATATTTCTTCACCGATCCGTTTCCTCCCAGTACTATAGGTATATTTAAATTCTCTGTAGTCAGCCACAGGTGTACATGGATTACTATGACAAACATAATTTGTAAGTGTATCTCGATCCCGGCACAATATTACAGGGTAATTATCTCCACTTTACATACCTTTTCTTAGATAGGATGACTTCGTTTCTTAAGGCCTGTAACATGTAGAATATTCTAGTGCAGAACGTCTACACATTAGTGCCTTGGCATCATAACCTCGAAAGTTATAGTGAATGTTATGGAGTTATTACACGTAAGATTTTAGAAATTTATAACACTGCTGCATTGATCTATATCATCAATCGAAACAGTACGCCCTCGTCAACAACAAGGAATAAAAGCCGAAGATGTGAATTGATGAACGTACGTAATAAATTCCTCGTTAGGGCTGTTAAACGAAAAATGAATGACTATTTGTAAACCCCTGAAGAACTGAAGGTTGCTGAGTTTCCGGTATTTAGCATTTCGATTGAGACATTTTCACTAATAGCTAAGTATCCAATGAGTACATGCTCATAGAGCAGTTCTTCTAGAAAAAGAGGTGTTCTCACTGACGCTTCCATCTGTGGCTGTTGTTAGCGAGTAGCTTAAACTTAAACTAAATCTTATACCAATAGATAGCACACTGATAAAGTAACATTGAAAATGATTCTTGAAGCGATTACTAATCCGTTTAGCAAGATCTATAAACTTAATTTTCCATGAGAAGCTCATACAGCGTTGTGAAGGACAGGTATAGTTGCTGCAGTTTTACTTTGGCATTCCCGTTAAAGACACCAGAAAAGCTGCATACTCTAGAAGCTGCATTGAAAGAACGAAAAGCCCGCGGTCAGTTCGTAAGTTGTGAGTTATAAAATTTGACGTGAAGATCATTCGTGATGATCTTAGGAAGTTCACAAAAGCTTGTTTACCTTACGTGTCGACGCTCGAACTGGCCATTAATTATACTTTACATAGAGCTAGAAGCGAAATGGGTATGAGTAACAACCAACTCTACAGAACAGTTCGCAGCAAGCCAAGATTACAGTCGGTATCTTTTGTTAGGTGCTCTGTGTTCACGGTTCAAAGCGCGAACTATCCCGAAAACAAAATAACACAAACGATAGACGTTGCGAGTCGGGCTTTCTCACACGACTAAAGAGATAAAGTAAATAAGCGTTGATGGGGATCCCAAGGAAAGGTGAACTTAATAAAGATTAAATGTATTACTGAATACCTGCATGTTTTTACCACTTTTTTTAAAAAGTGTCTACTATTAGCATGGGAAATTTTTCGATATTACGTTTACTACATGGAAGACTAATGTTTTATTCTGTCTGTAAAACACTTAACGAAAGATTGACATCGACATAATAAACACACTAACAACTCAATCCCGATGAAAAAGAACATGACGTGAATGACTCGTGAGAAATGTGTGTGTCGTTTCACATTTTAATACACAATCTCACTTATAACACAACCTTTTAACCACGACAATGCCTATATATGACGTTTTTTATTATGTGTTGACAAGATAGGACTATTTCGATGAGGTGAATAAAGTGACTGCTTCTTGACATGTTGTCTTCTAAGCGTAGTATACTTAATTCTACGTAGAACGTTAATGCAAACTAGGTGTGAGTGCGACAACATGTTGATGTGGAGAACAATGGCGTGGTTTTAGAAATCTGCTAAGTTCGCGAAATGAACTACATTCAATCTCCCGATTTTAGGGGAAATTTCACCAAATTTAGTTTCCCCAAACGTTGGGAAAAATTCGAATTTTAATACGACTTCGGAGAAAACTCCAAAATTTACCAAAAGTCCCTGGACTGGGCAAATAAAAACGAAAGACTTTTATACACACAGAAAATTCTTTGTGGTTCTCAACAAAGAACGTATGGTTTTCCCGAAACGTCGGGCATATTTTCGGGTTTCATCAAACGATACAAATAAATACTTCCAAAGCCATCAAAAATTTCGTGGGATATGTTGGCGAATTCGAAACACAAGACGAATAAAAGGAGAGGTTCAGCTTAATTTCCCAGTGAAAGGTGAAAAAGCAGGTATTTATGTGCGTCCCCTATTATTTTCCCTTTATTTTCCAACAGAATTTTTTCTTTACTTTCCCACTGTTTGTTATTATTTCCCCTTTATTAGTTGCTTGGCTTCCCACGAAAATTTGGGTTTTAACATATTAAAACGTTTGAGGTACACTTGCTCGATCTAATTTTCTTCGAAAGTTTCAGGTATTTCCCTAAATAACTTGAAATTAAGGCGGAAAAATTGCATAACAGTGGAAAATTTGGGGTTCTAGTCGCATTTCTGAAAATTTTCTGTAAGAGCTCCGAAATCGAGAGATTGGATTCTTTGGGTACTAAGACAGTGTGCGTGAGGAGTGCTGGAATAGACAGCAATACGAAAGATAGGCCGCCGAATTTAGATGGCTACAAACTGCATTGTCTTTAATTAAGCAAAGCAGTCGACAACAATTAGCAATCTTACTTATCCTAGTTGACCGCACTGTAGCGCACGTTTTGAAAGTGTGTTGCCAAAACTAATTTCTTTATGATTAGCCTAAATCAACGGATTTATTTATTTCCGCTATTTTCTTGTCATCTCAGTGCCTTTCTAGATATTTCGTTATGTCCAGTGTATATTAGTATGAACACTTCATAGCACTAAATCTATTCATTCTGGTAGCTGTTTTTGGATTTACTTGTCATGTAATTCAAATGAATTGAGTGAAACTCGTCCCCATGCATCAACTTCATTGACTATGAAAAGGCGTTTGACAGTGTGGATAGGAAGACTTTATAGAAACTTCCTCGACACCACTGAGTACCTGAGAAAATCGTCAAAATCATATGGAATTCATACGACTACAAAGCAGAGTTGTGCATGGAAGACAGCTGACAGACGCATTCCAAGTGAGGATCGGAGCCGCAGCTGCCTACTCTGCCCCTTTATCTTTCTTATGATCGTTGACTGGATTATGAAGACTTTAACTTCTCAGGAGAAGCACGGACTACAATGGACAGGTTGAGTGCAACTAGACGAATTGGACTTAGCATGTGACTTGCTCCTTCCCATACACACGAATAAGTGCAGATGAAGACAACTAGTGTAGCCGCAGTCTCTGCATCAGTAGGCCTCAACATACACAAGGGAAAAAGCAAAATCTTCAAACATATCACGAAGGACACCACCCCAGTGAGTAAGTCAAATGGCAGTAAGGTTTCCGGATACCAGTGGCTGTTCCGCTATCAAGCAGGCGGTTGGTTGATTGGTTAATTAGCGATGTGTAAAAAGAGGGTTTTAAAGATTTAAATGGGAAAAAAGAATGATGATAAGAGGTAAGAATAATTTATCGTTATGTGATGTTAACAGTAGTTGAAAGTAGTACAAGCAGAAATTAGAAATCTGATAGTTAGTCTTATCAAGTCTTCTTCTAAAGTTATCCACTGAAGGAAACACAATTACTTGAGCTGAAAGAGCCTTCCAACTGTGGGCAACATTTAATATGAAAAGATGGGACTGTGCCTTGGTGTCTGCCTTTCTATGTACAATTATTTCGGAGTCCCATCAAGTTGTGTGGTAGTGAAGTTTCGGTGAGGCATTCAAATGCTAGTGACTCGATGTGCTGAAGACATTGTCTGCCATCGATAGGTGTTTTCTTATTCTCCGAGTGATCGGCAAGAATTTTCCCAAGAGTTGGAGCTAATATTGGTGAGATTTTTTTCTTAGTCGCATTGTAAAACTCATTTGGGAGGTTAGCGTATGAAAATCCCTTCCCATACACACTGTCGTGAATTACTGTGCATGATTCCTTCAGATATACATTGCGTTGACCTTTTGATATCAGTCAAGGTAGTACTATTTATATTGTACTACAAATTTAGTTTTTATTGCATTTTCACTGACCTTACATGTTTTTCCTGAACTATATGTAAGTTGTTTTATTTGAATCCTGGTTACGGTGGCTACCATGTTCATTCGCCCGCCTTTTTGGTAGTTGTACTTGGATTAATTGGAATTGTGTACAGATAACTGTGTATCGAAGAGCTTTTCCAGAACTGGTGACACTCCATATTAAAACAAAATTAAATATCATATTTTGAACTATCTGAACGTGATCTATCCAGTAAAGATAGAATGATGATCCTGTATTTATGAGGAATTTCATTTATTACACTCGATAATTCTCTCATATCCTTTAACATTTTACCTACTTGATGTAAGTTAGAATTCACTAGTGGCTGAACGATTATAGGTTGAATGACAGGGTGGTAATTTTTGTTTAGTTGATGGTGTACATTTGGCTTCGTGACCAAATGTGAAACCATGGTTTTCCCAATCACTTTGTTTTGGATTCTTCATGGGGAAAGTGCGTATTTGAACTTGTCTGTTGGGGATGTTGGATCTCCAAAACTTACTTGGTAAATACCTTGTTTTTGTAATTTTATTTTGAAAAGTTGAAATATTTGTTCTCGTGACAAAATGGCTCATTTTCACCTTCATTTCGTATTCCTTACTTGAGAGAACCTTAAACGCTATTAGTTTGTTGTATCTTTTAGTATGCTGTTTTGTAACGCTTCTCAAGGACAATTTTATGCTGTGCCTGTTGTGATTGCTCGTGCTTCTGTCTTCTTGCGGGATATATTTTCCCCGTTTCGAACCTAAACTCCTCTTTTTAGTTAGCAAAGTATGAACGCGCCAGAATAACTGGCTAATTTGTCTGTGATCATAGAGTCTTTGTTCAGTTCTCAGACTAGGTGAACTCGTGGTCGCTTCAAACATAGCATTATCCAAACAGTTACTTCTGATTCCAAACTGCTTCATTTTGCAAAGCACGCTCATCACCTACTTTGTCATTTGTCTCCGTACATGATCTTAGAAATGTATTTATTTTTAAGAGAGTGTGTAACGACCGAACTGTCAGTATTTGGTTTGAACGCAGTACTGACGAACCAAAATGCATTCGAATAAGCCAGACTACGTTCCTCTGTATAGCTTACAAAGCGTTTTTGAGATACTCGTATTAAATTATATCAAAACACAAACTTTGTGATGAATTTAAACGAATCTAATTTAGGAAATAGTACAAATCATATCAAAAAATTCAAAATATCTCAACCGGTACAGCCTGTGCTATACAGTCAAAGGTTTCTCTAACGCAATGTAGCGCGATAAACAACAAAGGAAACAGTTAATACCAAAGGTTTCGATACCTGAGAATCAATAAAAATATTTCCAATAAGATGGGATCAAATATCTATCTGCAGGGATTCCAGCAATCCTCCCTAGTGAACAGTCGTTCCTGCGTAACTTATCTCTTTTATTCATAATAAATATATTGTTCTATCTCCAGCCTAAATGTGTTCTTCATCATATATTGGTGATTATACGATTAGTCAGTGTAGACTGATGTAACTCTTATATAAGATTTTATAGATTAAGCAGCTACATCATGATAAATCCACAGTTTTAGGATGAGGTATATTATTAGTGCAGTACTAATAACGAACTAGACCATAATTCTACAAGCAATTCATAAGCAGTTTTAAAAATTATCTTTGTATTTTCGTGTAGAGCTGTCTATGTGTGAAGTAAAGAGTTGCATTTACTTTGACTGTTTCTTAGATGTAGTTTGGGCTGGTGTTAACACTTTTTGTGATTGCCATTCCTAAGCTGAGCTCTATAAAGACTATCAAGAGCACATTTTTATAAATGACGTCAGTGCTCTGCGCCCGGATGTTCATCATACAGCATATCGGTCAGTTAATGTACAGAAAATTGCCTAATGTCCACTACTCTATAGTTAGTTTTGAGGCTCCAGTAAATCATTTTCATCTTTTATACATTCCCATATCGTCAAGTCGTCCGTGTTGATTTGCGTCACTGAATTAATTTTATCTACATGGTTGATAGTGAAGGTCAGGACTATTTCCATTATTTTTTGATAAACTGGTAGGAATTATTGTAATTTTTGCGCTGATGACTTGATGTTGGAGGACCAATCGAGAAACTTGATGACACTTATTTGGATTATACTTATTTCAGCTGAAATAGTTTCAGTGATTTAAAGAAGGTGGTTAGAGATCTATAAATTTGGGACGCGTTAATGGAGTCTCTAAAACTAGTGATTGCAACGTCGTATCCTAGTCTGGTTAATAATATAAGCCGGAATAAAACCAGTAGAAGCGCAGAGGATAGTGAAAGAGAAGAGGATAATGAAGTGACAATCAACAAATGAAATTAGGGCAACTGATCATACAACCAGTAATTAATTTGGGGATAGTAAGAGAGCAAGAGGAACAGCACCTAGTAACGACCAATAAGCACAATAATTCCATGCCTCATTCCGTCATAGTAACGTGTTTGGCCTTGGTTGAAATATGGATCCTGTCTGACTCTGTATGATTACTTAGATTTGATGGTTGCGTAATGAACACAATAATAATTTCAGAGTAATACTCTCAGTGAACAAGGTGCCGTGGATATCTAAATGGATATCGGCAATATGTTAGATGTTAGTAAACGTCTTTTAATGGGCTTACAAGTGATTCACATAGAAGCGGTCGCGGTTACTGTTCCTTCACGGACCATAGTTCCTGTAATATTTGAAAATCATAATTGCGAAATTGTTCCAAATTATCCACATCGAAAAATTTGTTACAAATTGCTATTATCACGCACCAATATGAAGCGAAATGATCAAAAATCAATGAATTTAAAAAGACCACTGTTTAAAATCAAAACAAATTTCCTAAATACGGAGCGGTTTTGGCTAATGGAATAGGACTGAGGGAGAAGAAACTGAGGTGATGGTAAGCAGCAAAGAACGGCCAAGTACAGGATACCAAGAGTTCATGCCTGTGTCTATTGTTCCCACAAGTTACCGTTTCTTAAGTTCTTGTTAGTTTATTTTCTTTCAGTTCTTCTGCATCTCCAAACCAAATTTCTTAATCTTTAGACTTATTTCTACAGAAGCAATGCACCTTCACTGTGGGTACGCCTAAATACGGCCAAGATATTTAAGGTTAAGTTAGCTGATCCATCTAAACTAATATATCAAACTACACGACATTGAGCGTCAAGTAAATTTGTCTGCTTTCATCTTATGTTTTGTCCTAAACCACGCCACCAGGTTCTGAATATGTTTGTAAAGTATAATATTCACCATTGTCCGCAGTAGATGCTGGATATTAGTTTGTCCACTTAGATAAAAAGCGATGACTGACATTTAATATGTTTATCGACAGTATGATTGTCTTATTAATTTAACACCCTCCTGTTGCTATATTTAGGACAGAAAAGAGGGGATTGAGTTGTGAATCGTGAAGAAGAAAGGACTGGTTGGACTCACCTATTTTATGAAAATGAATGATTACACAGTATAGTCTTTGGTCGTTTATCGTTTCCCGCAAACCAAAATGAAAACAAATAAAGTAGTTTCAACCAGTACAGTTCTTCTAAAACGTCTGTGTCATTTCATCTGTAAATGCATGTATGCCTTTGTCGACAATCTACTCATAAGCTTGGGGTTTTTTACGTTTACGTATGCGTTCAAATTTCTACTTGTCGACCACTCTATTCGTTACCTGTCCAGTTGTCTTCTATCTGCCTGACTATAAACGCTAAATCACGCTTCGTAAGACTGGCCATACAACGTTGCTCACCTATTGGCCCATATTTTTAAGTATATGTGTAGAATTTTTTCACCACATCACTCGCTGACTTTCGTCCACAAAACCACGAAGCTGGGTTTGCCTAACTACAATTCGTGGAGTCAAACGGAAAATTTATATCTAATGGTCCATCCACCATGGTCATTAATGTAAGAGCCAACAAATACCTTCAATGTAACTCAACTAACTTATTCATATATTTCAACACAAACGCGGGCATCAAATATACGCCACACACTAAAAAGGAGATTGTGATGATATACGAAAAGGAAAGTGTGTATCATAAAAAGTGAACAAAGATAAATAGAAATTATGATATGAGAGTGGAATAAAATGGTGATAATAGTAGTAATGCAAAAAAAGTTGAATTAAGGAAATTTCAACCGGAAAGAATTCGTTCAGTTCAAGAGGTTACAGCAGGATCGCTGCTGGTTCATATTCTGAGATATGCGTAATAACGTCTCTAGCCTCTCCGTTGCACCACTTCTAGGACTCCAACCAAAGTATCATGAAGGACCAACAGAAGACAGTTCTGCACAGATTTATATCACACCACGACACCATGTCATACAGTGACAACCTCTCCGCTTTTTCCAACCAGTCCCAGCGTTGGCGAACAAGGCACAATATGGAAATTTCTCAGACAACGTTTGTAGGATATATCCAAGCCACAGAAATCGGTGTTTCAAGACGGTGACACCAATTGAATTGTCGTCGCCATAACTGTGCATTACTAATATGGTGTTGTCACTAGATGCCAGCAATCCTTTGAAGACGATGATGATCAAACACAGAGGGTCGTCAGGTTTCTCTGACAGAACAAAAGTGATCTTACCGACGCGTCATAGATCCAACTACTCACAGTCACACTGACATAACGAAGGTGCCAAAGATCACCCAGGAGTCGGAATTCCTCGTGGACTTCTCCTTCAGGTGGACCAGTCGTCTTGAAGGATAGGAAAGTTTGATCGATGTCGTCGGGCAACAGACCAATTGAAACGCTCCTTGCCAATTTTTTCCCACTGTCCAAGGCATCGATAGATTTTACTGATTAGCATTCCATCAACTTCACAGATTGTTCCATTCACACCAGATGTCTTGCTGCTAATGACTCAGATGAGTTGACAGAGCTTACAGCATCTCTTACAACCGTCAGCCAGTTTAGATTGATATCAATAGCCTTCCAAATATACCATAGAACCGCTTCATTTCTGACTTCTGATTTGACTGGGTTGGTACACTTCGAATATAAAGGTGCTACATGTAAAGACGTTGTCAAACCCTAAATACTTATGGGATCATAAAACATGTCATTACACAGGTATTTTAGAGTAATCACCAGAATACGTTACGTTTTCCTTCTAAACACTGCGTAATGTTAATCTCGATGACTATTTGCACTAGTCCACATTGCAGTAATTGTATCTTTTACTCAACAAAGCACTTGATTCCTCGTCATTTACATAGATGTTGGACAATGCCGAATGTTGACATTCTAAAGGCTTTTCGTTTCTGTTTCTTTCCTTATATATAAGTTCTGACTTGAAAGGAAATCTGACTATAGGCTGGTAAATATGAAGGATTGTCAAGTGGTAGGTTATTTGGGTTATTTGGTCTAGTCCGTGACCTTCAGAAGCAACCAATAAGAATTAAGCGACGAGGCCTGGCGAAGATTTGAAATCTCCCTTTCGCGAGGAAAATGGCTCTTAACAAGGAGTCTATGGATTCCCATTTTTCGTTAGTTGTGTATGAAGTTTTTATATTTTCTAGGTTTGTTCCAAAAGTTGTAAACGGCGGTATCGCTGGGATCGTTGGTGTAACCTGCGTTTTTCCAATTGATCTGGTTAAGACGAGAATGCAAAATCAACAAGATGGCAAGAAGTTATACAAAAATGTGTGAGTCAAACAAGTAGAGAAAGCTTTCACATCCCTTAGTTTATCGCCAATACTCTCATGTCTTTAGTACTTTTCCGAATATTTGGTCCTGAGAAACTATTGAATAGACTAAATATCTAAAAAAGCTGGTTTCAGTTGCATCGTGTTTTCCTAGTTCCATATCTGGTTAATCGAGTTGTCTAGTGAATCCTGGTTGTTATTTAACCATTGCGAGTCATCCATTATCATAGGCCGATGTTTATTTTCCGAATAGGTAGTCGGTTAGATCTCTCGGCTACACTGTATAATTACATCTCGGCTATCTATCGGTCTTTTATCTACTAATTCGAAGTCTCCCGACCGTTAATCTATCTGGATGAACATGTTGGAAAAATACGTACGTTTATATGCTGTAGTTACAGCTGAACCAATTTATATTACTGAATTAATGAAAATGGTAGTTTATTAAAATATTTACGTACGTCTTACTACCTACTTTTTTCTGCACCAAAGATAGAGCATTTCTAGGTGATGAGCGTTTAATTAGTGGGTTTAAATAATCTAGTTATTCAATTTAAAAGCCAAATTGACTAGTGGTGTCAACTAAATGGTAGAAAGTAACTTTTATTATATATTACAGTTTTTGTTGAGTAATTCTTGTCATTCAGAGTTTACCATACTGTTCATTGTAAACATATAATCGCTTCGTAAGGACAGTTGTTAGATTAAACTTAGCCTTCCCGCCAAATTGAAGCTACATACTTTTACTGGTTTTCTGTGTGGCTTTCTATAGATAATATCCTCAGTAAACTGTACTGTAGACATTCTTTGATTATAACGTTCCATTAAACACACTACATAGTTTTGAGTGAAAGCCTTCAACTCAGTAGTTTCGGTTATCTCAAACAAACTTATAGTTATATGTGTATATCCTGAATAAATAAATCCATATCTTTGTGTAATTGGGTTAGCATTGACAATTTCATCTAGCTGTGCCCCCAAATGCCCTGGTACGGCCTAGAGTGGTATGGCAATATGGTATGGCAACTTGAGCAGATGCGACAGATCTACATTACCCGTAACTGATAGTATCTTTTGCAGTTTGCCAGACACTTAAGTGTAAGTCATCATTATCTTAATAAAGAACTAGTTCGGTAAAGAATGATATGAGTGTTTCTCGTGAAGCCTTTAAAATATTGAAAGGGGCTGAAAACACAGTATAAAGCCAGTAGGAGAGAGTTACTACAAGCGCCAATATATATGCGCCACACAAAACAATGAGAATTCGAAGAGAAAAAAAGAGGTAAGGAGCGTAAAAAACGAGAAATAACGAAGAGATTGGTGTAAGGTAGTGTAGTAATAATGAGGGAACGGAAAGATACAATCAAAAGAAATCTTTCAGTTAGGGAAGACACAACCACTTTTTATGAAGTAAAAAAGGTTGCAGCAGGATCGCCACTGTCTTCTATTCTGAGCCATATCTGATAACGTCTCTAGCCACTGTGTAGCAGCATCTCTCGGACCCCAACCAGGGAGTCGTGAAGGACCAACAGAAGCCAGTCCTTTGCAGCTTTCTTTCATGCCACGACACCATGTCATGCACTGACCGCCTCTCCGCTTCTTCCAACCAGTCCCAAAGTCGGCAAATAATGCACGAGGTGGAATTCTCTGGGACGAAATTCGTAGAACATGTCCAAGCCACCAAAGTCGGTGTTTCAAGATGGTGACATCGATTGCATTATCATCTCTGTGCCCGAACACACGATGCCGAACCTCTGCTTTACTGACATGGTGTTGCCACTGGATGTCAGCAATCCTTCGGAGACGACGATGATAGAACACAGAGAGTCTTCTAACGTCCTCAACTCAGAGAGGCCAGGTTTCACAAGCATAGAGTAAAACTGCTCTCACCGACGCGTTGTAGATTCGACCTTTTACAGCCTGACTAACATCACAAAGGCGCCAAAGGTGGCCCAGATTGGCATAAGCCGCTCTGGCTTTCACTATCTGTGCATTGATCTCATCACTCACGCCACCACCAGCACTTATGCAGCTACCTAGATACACGAACTTCTCGACTACTTCTATCTGCTCACCATCCAGGGTGAGTACAGGATTAGAATCCTGCCAGTCTTGTAGAAGTACTTTGCACTTCGAAGGTGCAAAGCACATACCATACCTACGGACACTGATTGCCAACTGATTAAGTGCGGATTGCATGCCTTGGGCATTATCGCACAGTAAGACAATGTCATCCGCATACTCAAGGTCGAGAAGTCTTTCTCCAGACAGCAGATCCACACCACCATTACTTACATCCATCAGAGCTGTTTCCAGAATGTCATCGGTGGCAAAGTTGAAGAGGAATGGTGAGATTGGGAAACCCTGCCTAACCCCATTGCTCGAATGGAACAATGGAGAGAGGTGGTTGTGTGCCCTCACTCTGCCTGAGGTGTTTGTATATAAGGCTTTTAGGATGTTAATAAACTTCTCAGGCACACCCTTCTTCAATAGACAATCCCAGAGAACAGTCCTATCCAACGAATCGAAGGCAGCCCTGGTGTCAAGATACACTACGATTGTTAGCCTTTGATAAGTATGGCGGTGTTCTAACATTTGGCGGAGGGTGAAGATATGATCAATACATCCTCGACCAGAACGAAACCCAGCCTGCTCCTCGCGAGTCAATCTTTCTCGGGTTTTGAACAACCTACGAAGTATGACGAAAGCCAATAGCTTGGACGCAATCGTAAGTAGACTTATCCCCCGATAGTTGTTACAGGAACGAGGTGAACCCCTTTTAAAGATAGGGACAACTATCGACTCATTCCATGACGTTGGTACACTCTCTAGTTCCCAAACCTTTGTAAACAACGTCGTCAATTCCTTAGTCAGAAAGTCACCACCATCTTTAAAAAGAGCCGGAGGTAAGTCATCTGGGCCAGGGGATTTGTAACGCTTCAAGAGTTGGAGTTCCTTGCGGACTTCCGCCTCATTTGGTGGATCAGTCGTCACCGGCCATGGGGGGCAGGACAGTCTGACCGATGTTGCCGGAGCAGAAGCCCAGTTGAACTGCTCTTCGAAAAATTCTGCCCATCGTCCAAGACGTCGATGGATGCTAGTGATTGGCATCCCATCATCCTCTCAGATTGTTTCGCTCACACCGGACTTCTTGCTGCCAGTGGCTTGGATGAGTTGGAAGAGCTTCCGGTAATTACCAGATGCAGTTGCTGCTTCCAACTCATTAGCACGCTCCGACCACCAGGCTTCTCGGTCCTTACTCAAGCTTTGCCCAATTTCCTTACGTAACATCCTTCGTTTGTGGTTAAACTCACGGTCACCCGGAGTAGACCGACGGGCTTCAATGAGTTGTAAAGAACCTGAAGAAACCCAGTGCATATAAGCGGGACGTTTCGCGAACCCACAACTGGCTGTACTCGCCATTTTCATGGCGTCATGCAATTGCAACCAATGCTCATCTATTCTTTTCGGTGGATTGGTAGCTAGCCTAGAAACTAGCTCGGTTCGATGCTTACTAGCAACAAAAGTTGCAACCAGCTTGCTAACATCAATCCGTTGGTGGCGGTCACTTCGTTGGCCACTGGAAAGTAAGGTAAGATTGGCGCAGACCAAGGCATGGTCAGAGTCCAGATACGGTACTCCAAAAGGAGCGGCAGTCTTGTACACAACCACGCCAGCGGTAGCTGATCGCGATGTGATCAATCTGAGTCCAGGTTTGGGATGCAGAGGGAGGACGCCAGGTAGCACATCTGCGACGACTGTGCCGAAAGTTAGTGCTAACCAGAAACAGATTGTGGTCTGTGTACAGTTGCAGTAAACGGTCCTAGTTATCTGACATGCGACCAACGAGTCCCCATCGGCCACCTAAACGACTCTCTTCTGTGCCTAGACTCCCGACCTGAGCATTCAAGTCTCCGGCTAGTACTACAATATCTGTCGAACGTACTTTCTGGAGAAGAACAGATAACTGGTGGTAAAACTCATCCTTGATTGCATCCGGGCTGCAATCTGTCGGGGCATAGGCGGAGATGACGAAAAGACATCGTTTCTCACGCCGATTTCTTCTCTTTTTGATGGAACTCTCTAATCTAACAGCACATAACCGACTGTTAATGGGGATCTAATCGATTAGTGCTGCCTCAGCTCTAGCGCTTAGTGCGACATCAACTCCTGCAAGACCAGACGAAGATGCCACAGGGTCCCCGGATAAGCGCACGTAAAACAAGCTTTTCGAAGCTACAGTTGAGCGAATTTGTAGTACTTCACCAGAGTCTTGAATACGGGTCTCGGATAGACAGCAAACATCAATATTAAGACTTTCCAAAGACATAACCAGCCCTATCTGTTGTCCAACCTGCATAAGTGTGTGAACGTTGAAGGCAGCCAGTTTGAATGGTGCACGTGGTTTCAAAAAAACAGATTAAGAATTCGTATTTGATGGTAGCATAAAATGTTCAACCGAACAGTGACTCGAGAACGTTTAGATAGAGTTGAGTTTCCACCAAAGACAAGCCGCTGTATAAGTATAAAAGAGGGTGGATAATGTGGTAAATAATAATAATAATAATAATAATAATAATAATAATAATAATAATAATAATAATAGCAATAATAATCGTTTGAATCATTTGATTGTTAGTTGAAGCAAGTAAATTAGTTTCCATAATTATAGGCAGTTCATCATATTTGTGTGTGGGCTGTGATACTGCCCGGGTGCCCAGACCGAAGCATGTGGTTATCTTAGGGGGCCTTTGACCTAAAGGTCTAACCCATAAGGCAGTGGAGCATCGTAAAGAGATGCAGTCCCATGGTAGCCGGTGACCAACGATTGGTTCATACGCCATTTGTTCCCTCAGGATACTGGAGCCAGCCATGTGCACCATTGGTTTGGGATCCGGTTAAAGCGCCGGACATTCGCTTTTCGTCCTCTCATTTTCGTAAACAGCACCCCCGCCACGAGAAGGCAGAGGCTGTATACGCGTGGCCGTGTGAAAGCGTTTCGAGAGGGAGAGCGGACTTTCCCCACTCTCGGCCGTACCAGGGCATTTGGGGGAGAGAGTTACGGTGGAGCAATGGGCTAATAGTTAGGAGTTATACTCTTGTGTACTAAGTCCCAGGTTTGAACCCGGTCCCTCCTTGGGCAAATGGGTAACGTTATTAATCTTCTTACTTAAAGTGTGGCTCATACTCAGGTCTCAAGTAAGTTAGATTGATTTAATTAAAGGTATTTGTCACATAGTACCAAGGTGTATGGTCGTTAAGTCAATTATCTGTCAATTAAGTGAATAATATTGAGGTTGGACAGTTGGTCGTGGGAAACATGATAAATCAATTGATGAGTTATTAAATCTTTATCGAATGAATGTGCTTAAATATCGTCCACCTTGACACGATGTTCACTGATGTAAAAGTAAGTTGGGAAGACGTTAGAAGCGGCCGAACCAAGACCTGATATCAGTTTGTGCAGTCACTGAGTGTCGGCAGTTTCAGACATCTGGTTAGGGTTCGTATGATAATCGTAATCAGCGGTTAGAAATATTGGGTGTCATTGCTGGAAATCGGTCACAATGACGCAGATGTATTCACTTTTGAGTTCTAGTATTTCTTCGTGAATGCCTTTGCATTTCGTCTTTTCAAACCATATTCTCAATGTTTAATTTCCATTATCAATAATACTGCATCGTTTTGACCGATTTTGCAATTAATCTTGTTGTTTTCATCTCGTCGTGTTATTATAGTACAGTAAGCTAAACCTGCGTATATTTTTTAACTAGTTTCTGCGTTGATAATGACTAATTAACTGGAAACTAAACGTAAATGATTCTAACTCAAGAAAAATCTTACTAAAAAATAAAATAGACCGTTGTCGATAAATCTTTGTTATTTTGTCTTTCCATATCCTTAAAAAGTTTGGACTGTGCTGCAAAAACATATCGTGCTGAAGGATTTTTTGGCATGTACAGAGGTTAGTACTATGTGATTAATGGTTTTTTATTTTATCACAGTATTTATACTTTTATTGTCAATAGCTGTTTTGGTAATTGTTCGACTTGAGTGATATACATTAATTTTATACGGTTCAAGTAATCTATAGCAAGATAAGCTTTCAGCAGTTAGAGTAATTCTATTAAATTATAAAATCTGAATTTACACTGTTTAGTTAATCGATGTATTACATTACTGAATTATTATCTTGCTGATAGTGGCAATTTTATCTTTTTGATAGCTAACGAATTAATCTTTTAATTGTCTTGTTTATTTTTATATCACAGTTCAATGATAAGAGCTTACGATAAACGGAACACGAATATATATATATATATATATATATATATATATATATATATATATATATATATATATATAATTCCTGGCTGTTACCACTCATTCTTCTTTCGGATATAACAAAAACTAAGTATTACTCAATAAATATAAGTGTTCATAAGGCTTGTTCAGCAAATCTGTAGGATACAATTATTGTTGCTACAACGCTCGGTTTTCCCGTCTACCTTAGACGAATATCTACACTAGATACCATTCTAGTGACTATTCTAAAAGACTTCACAACTCAGATCAAGAACACATGACTAACCTGACTAGAACGTGAGTATATCTCCACTTTGAAGAAACCGATAACAAAAACAATAATAAGGGTAGGAAAATGTATAACTCATTTAACACCTGTAAGACTATCTACAAGTCTGGCTTAGCAAACAAGCAACAATTATTTTCCTCGAACACACATCAGTTACGTCATATTTTCTTCATTATCATTACTATTGTCATTGCAAGCATGTCCGAAGTGTTTCCATGTGTAGAGAGGGGTTAAGAGAATGAAAACTCAAGATGCACTAGCTTAGGTGCCCGACCGTTGTCTCTATCTTGGTGTTATGGTTGGGTTTGGATATCGTTTTGACTTTATTGAGCTCTATGAACTGATAACAAGGACGTCAGCTAGAGGTCCTCAAATTCATGGCCTAAGATAGAACTCGTACTACTGACTGTGCTGGGGTGTGGTAGCGACAATCACGTCTCCCAAAAACTAGCATTTCCAGCCATGCTGACCCTTACAAAACAGGCAGGAAGAGTTTGGCAAAGATCAGTCCCAAAAGCACCACACCTCACCTTACTCATGTATATCCATTGTCGGTGGTAAAGTTTTAGATAAGGGGTTGGCATATCTTAAGCCGATCATAAAAAGCCGTTTGTAACCGGACTGAAGCAATTGTCCTTTTGACCCTCTGCTCATATTGTTGGGTTCTTAGGGCCACTCTTAATCCAGTTTTCTCTTCAGACATCTCCATAACAAAAGTGTCCTTCCACGGCGTGAAGAGTCGATAAGGGACGATCGCCATCATACCTCTAACAGTACCTGAGATAATCTTACTATCCATTTGAGTAACAGTTTTATGGGGATAATTTTTGTTTAACAATAACTAAATGTTTTAATGATAAATAACATGTAGTATTGCACCTGTAGTAATGTAGCTCACTTACAAAGTAAACATTTATGTATTCAACTTTAAACCACACTGTTTATATTGATTACGGTTAATTATGCTGACTAGCTGCCCAAACTAAATTAGATGAATGGAGGTCCAAACCAACGACCCAGTCGTTGAAAAGTGAATACTTCCAACCAATAAACTATCACTTCATTTATACAGTAAATTTGTGATTTTTCAAGTTTATGAATCAATTAACTTAAATCTAACAGTGTCCAGAAAAAAAGTTAAATGTAAATAATGGTATAATTAACTTTGAATTTAATACACTTTTCACCAGGTTCAACATTAATCTTTGCCATGTCAAAACTTGAGAACTCTTATTTTAGCGTTTTTTCCTCTCCGATGTTTTAGGAAGTGGTGTCAATCTTCTTTTAATTACACCAGAAAAAGCGATTAAATTAGTCGGCAATGATTTTTTTCGTTATCATTTAAAACCTGAGGGGTAAGTTTTTTTAATTATTTCTATTATATTTTTTTTGTTTTCGAAAATCTGTTAACTTAATTGATTATTAAATTGTCTTTATTTGAATACTTAGCAATTAGAGCGTTTGGCTTGCAACTATTAATTTACAACGTTTTCAAGCAATGTATATTAGTGCTTTGTAGTGGAATCTAAGAAGCTTGTTTCGTCCTGTTCGAGACTTGTCTGTTGGATGTACTTGCTACAGAATCTTGCTGTTGATGTTCACATAGGTATTTAAACTCAGTGTTTCTCGCTTCAACCTTCCTGCTCATTATCCACTTGCTGTCTGGGTTGAGTAGCTAAGCGTATAACTTATCAGGCATGTAAAGCGAATGGTGTCGGGTCCTTGTCCCTATGTGGACATCAATACTGGAATCTTGTAGTAAGTACACCCACCTGATGAGTCCAAAGCAGTACGAAACTCGTTTCCCGGATTCCATTTAGCCATTATTAAACATTGCTTAAAAATACTTGTGGCAGTATCGATGCAGTTTTCTCAGGACACACATATGTCAAAAGAGACTAACCAATCAACAACGGGAATATTCGAACCCTTTCAAATGAATTAGTATTAAGTTACAGATCCCACTCCTTTACCCTCACACGAAAGTTGTGGTTCAAAGCTCCAATTACATAAATTTTTATCTGGTAAATGAGTTACAAAAAAATTAGTTGATATTTACAGTATGGGTATTGCATTCTGAATATTTTATTGATGTTATGCCTAGAGTTCAATAACTTGAACTAAATTCAGTGCATATTCAGGAAAGATTTATTTGAACTGATGATTTAATACAATCATCTTAAATTAATATTTGTTGGTCTCGTAACGTAAATGAATTATTACTCTTTTCGGGTTTGTATTGAATAGTTACTTTGAAATGTGGAGCTATGGTTCGATGGTTGGTTAAGTTTAATATTTAGCCACTAATTCTTATTGTTATTGTTATGTCCTGTGGCTAGTCAAATATCGCGTAACAAAATCGCTAATCGGAATATCGACATCTATGACCTTGTCCCTGTGCTGAACCAATAACGCGTCAAACAGCACTAGCAGCCTTGAGTCAACTCTGAGACTCTATTGGTCCGTTCAGTTCAGAACACAAATATCAGCCTCCACTATATGAATCGTAGATTTCAGACATACGTAGTTAATATACAAGCAGACCAGACCGTATCATACTGTATCATATCATGAAAAATAACAGTTATAAAATATCAAGCCAAAAGTGGTTGTGAGTGTGGGATCCTGTAACTAATGGATTAGGAATGGGTTAATGGGTCATAACATCCTACATATATATAAACAAATTAGATTTCTTTCACTTACTAAATTTTCTGCATGCATAATTAACATTGAAAATCTCCTTGGTATATGTTTTGTTAAGAGAAGTTAATTTTACGCTCGTGTCCTACGTTCATGTTTCTTTGTGTTGGGGTTGCTTTCGAGAAGCTCAGTGGAGCCTCCAGAGGCCTTAATGGAGCCGAAGAGTTCCCACCCAATCAGAACCTGATGGAGCTTTTCAGAATATTAACGTGGCATGCTGCTATTGGACGGTAGCATAACGTACCTCCTTGCCGATTGACGGAATTATAATGATGTTATAGCCAACGCCGATAACTATAAATACATATGTTTTTCCGTAGATTTTTTATTCTTACCCAACATTCATTTTCGCTTTCTTCTGATTTTACGACTGTGGGGTTCTATACGTTCGAATGCCGTTAGTTGTATACCGTATTCTGCGTTAATCAAGTAGAGGACTGGACACTGTTTAAACAATGTTTTTGTTTTTTTAATTGTAGCAAACCTTTAACTCCGATTCGTGAAATGTTTGCTGGAGCTGGTGCAGGAACTTGTCAAATTATTATCACTACACCAATGGAATTATTGAAAATTCAATTACAAGATGCTGGTCGAACATCAAGTAAATAAAAAACTAAAATAAATATCAAACTGGCTCACTTAACTGTATTCTGGATAAGAAATTATGGCAGTCACTATCGAGCAGTATGATGTATTCATTAAATACGTTTGTAGGCTTCAGTATCATCCCCATTGTTTAAGGTTTATCGATTAATCTGTGTTAATTGTCTCATGTTTCGTTGCTTACTACTTTAATATCATTGGGTTTTGTGATGAAAGTCCTCGTAGAGATAAGATTGTATGATGGCAAAGGTGACGCACTGTCTTTAATTTTCATCTTAACTGGATAAAGTCGTAAAACCAGTGTGATTCTACTCTGCTGATTATCTCTACATTCACGTCCGATAGTGGAGCGCTGGGTCATTGGTTAAGACTCTTGACTTTCAGGCACTAAGTTATAGGTTCTAACTCCCCTGCTTGTACCTTGGTTTGATCAGCGGGATAGTATCAGTAGCTCACACTTAGTGTGACTCGAAGCTCCATACACACGAATCTGTGCCTGATAAGTGAGTTGAGGTATTCGTATTCTATGTCATTTGTATTCTATGTCATTCTATGTCATTTGTATTCGTTTTCTATGTCATTCTATGTCTTCAAATCATTAAACAGGATTATATGAGTAGCTTACATCCTGAATGCATTAAGTTATTCCGAGGCTTTCTGTATTAAGCTGTTATCTTAATTTTATTGAAGTTAAGTATGTTGACCATCGCCCAACCTTTCTGTATTACTTTGTGGCCATGCAACATGGTCTCTGAAAGTAGAAGACATAAGTGGTCTAAAGATTTTTGATTATAAGTATCTTCGAAGCATCGCTCGTTTATGATGGAACGATTTAGTGAGTAGTGTTAAGGTTAGGCGTAAAGTACTTTGAAAGGGTCCGAAATCGGTTAATGAGGTGAAGCTTCATCGATTGAGGTGGTTAAGACATATATTACGTATGACTAAACACCGCCTAACTCGATGAGGAACTCTTGCTATTACAGAAGTTGGTTGGAAGAAAGCTAAGGGCGGCCAAACTAAAATACGACATCAGTTTATGAGGTCATTGACTATTAGTCTGAATCATGTTACTAGATGTAAACTATCTGATTGGAGTCTGTACATATATTGTAAACAAGGGTTAAAGTCTTTGAGTGACATAGCTCAGAATCACTCACACTGGTGCAGATGTATTCATTCTTCATCTTCCTCTTGATCTTGAATTCCAGTGTCTCTTAATGCATACCTTTGAGTGGTGTCTTTTTAAACCATATTCTGAAGGTCTAGTCTTTCTTTTTATAATTGCTGCAACGTTATTTTGATCTCTTTTGCCACTTTTATCTCGTTGTGATAGTGTGGCATGTGAATTCGGGTCAACGAACATTTGTGCGAGGCTCAAAGTTGATAATGTCTATCTGTCTGTAATTTAAACCACTGAATTCTGGCTCAGTCGTCTGAAGGTCAGGCACTTGCTGTAAGACCTGGAGCTTCTGGGTTCGGTTCGTGGTGGAGTCATGGAGGTTCACTACTGAGGACTCTCATACTCAGACAAAAAAATTATCCGGCACTTTCTATTTTTCAATGGTTGTCTGGCCAAGGTTATTGTTATTCTGTAGTGATTCAGGCTTATTTTAAAGCTAACCACAATAATGTGTATTCCATGGTTTCATAAGTATCATCCATTTTTTCTTCTGTGATAAAATATTGTCAATGTTTACAATTTTTTAATCTTTAGTTCCTGTAACTAACAGCAGTGGTACAGTAGTAGCGACACGACAGACTGCTACTCAATTGGCTATTAAATTGGTTCGTGAAAAAGGAATATTTGGTTTATATCGTGGAATGGGTGCTACATTTTTACGTGATGTTTCATTTTCTATGATATATTTTCCATTATTTGCAAATTTTAACGCTTTAGTAAGTATATAATGGTAAATTTTCTCGAATTATTTTGTTGGTTTGACTTTTTCGGTTTACTATATTTTGTGGGACAAACTAATTAAAAGTTCATACTAAAATGAACGTTCGTCCCCCAAACGCATAGTGAAAGCCCGATGGGCTCATACCAATCTGGTCCATCCTTGGCACCCTGTAATATTAGTTTCTCTGTAAAAAGCCGGATTTGCAACGTATCAGTGAGAACTATTCTGTTCTGTGCTTGTAAAACTTGACCGCTCTGAGCTGAGGATGTTCTGTGGTTTGCCGTATTCGATCATCATTATCTCCGAATCACCGCTGACATCCAGTGATAACACTTTGTTAGTAATGCTGTGGTTTGGCTATGTTTGTTCGAGCACAGTAATTTAATTGGTGTCATTGTCTTAAAACATCGATCCCGATGGCCTGAAAATATCTTACGAATGTCATCCTAATGACTTCCACAGCGTGTATTGATTGTCAACGCTGTGACGGGGTGGGGTCAAAAATGACTTGGTACCTTGGTATACAAATGTTGTATAGGACTGGCATCCATCGATCCATCATGACTCCCCGGTGCAACTCAGACATTACTCAGAACAAAAACCAGTGGCTATGCGCCTGTAGTTTTGTACATTTTTCATAAAAGTACGTGGAGCTCACTCAACTGAAAAAGGTTTTCATATTATATATTGCTCTTGTTTACTTTTTTTGTAATTGTACTATTCTCTTATAATTATTTTACCACAATGTTTTTAACTCCTTATTCGTGTGGTGCATAGATTTTTGATGCCCAATTGTTTTGGGTTTTGTGCGCATTAAATAAACAAATAAGAACACAAGCTAATTTATTAAAACTTTGATCAAATATTCTAATCCATAAAGTATAGTGGAAGTTTATTTGAATTGGCTTTTATATCTTAGAGTCTAATAACTCATCTATACGATCTGATTTTAAATCGGAGACCATCAACTTCCTCAAATAAATATCCATACTTACCACAATCATTTTTAATCATTTGGTTTCCTATTCAAACTCTTCTCCACCTACTTCATTTCAGACAACCAGTTAGTATCATTATCCGTCACTTAAAAACTGTAGCACACTGCTGTGTGAGTTAATCTTTAGTTGGTAAATGACACAGCTGCATAATTCAGCTTCTGATACTAGCTGGTTGGAAGTAATCTGTACGAAACTCTGTATAGAGCTGCTGGGCTATACGGTCTTGGGCTACCTATCTTCAGCTATCTAACATCTCAACATCGTACATGCTATGTTGAGTCACTTAGACTAGTGGTCACATTGTAACTTTGTCGTTAGAGTTCGACCAACACTAAGGAATAGAGAAATATTCCCTTGGTCACTACTCAGTGGTGGTCCAATCAATTTTAAATATTTTCTGATCACAACACTCTAATCGTCCCAAATCAAAACAAGAATCGAGAGAGAACAATTAATATTTCAATATAGTTTATATAAGATTTACGTAAGGATTTAGGATCTTTTCAATTCGTCTGTTGTCTATGATTGATTGGAAATGAATCAGTCGGCGTGTTTCAACACGATTTCCATGTAAGCACAGAGCAATGAGTAGTTCATGGGTTTGAATCCCACTGTATCTTTTTTGGTTTAACTTATCAGATATGATCATTAGCTCTCACTTATGGTTTGAAGTGAAATAGATAAAAAGCCATATCTGGTCAGTGAGTTACATGTACACACTTATATCGTGCCACTCACTCTCGTGCACTGTAACAATCTGTCTCTTTTCCTACTGTCTTGAGGATTCCAAGCTAATGTTTTCTTAAATTACTCGTTGTTGAATTAATAAAATTTACTTTATCATTATTTTAGTAAATTGAACTCACGATTTACCATTTCCGCATTGTCAATTATATTTAGTGTTGTTCCCAGCTTTGTTTTGATCTCATTTAATTTATTCTATTAGGGTCCAAGAAGATCTCCAAATAGTGTAGAGGCTGTTTTCTATTGGTCATTTCTATCAGGATTTTTATCAGGAACAATAGCTGCATTCACTGTGACCCCGTTCGACGGTAAGTTTCAATCACTTGTGAATTATTACACATACACTGATTTATAAATATTTCAAATATTTATTGAATGTTTAGTTGAATCTTTTAAAAGGCTCAAATTTATCTGGCCGATGAAATTTTCAACCAGATCAATGAGATTGAATGATGTCTGTTTAACAGTTTGTGAGATCCCATTCTTTATCATAGCTAAATTATTACCAAATTGAAATTAATATACTTCGACAAATAAAATGTCATTATTATTTTACGATTTTTCTTCTAGTTGTTAAGACTCGACTACAAACAATTAAACATATTGAAGGAGAGAAAGTATTCAAAGGAATAACAGATTGTTTTGTGTAAGTTCTTATTATTGGAATTATTGATTAAATAGCTTGAACATTTTTAGATCTCTTTGTAGAAGAAGATAATTACTCTCATAGTTTACATCACGAACTGATCTTAGTTAGATGGCCATTGAAAACTAGTAGGTGCTAGATAACAGTCTCATCCTAGTATGCCCCCAAATGTTCTGGTACGACCGAGGGGGGGAGAGTCGTCTCTCTCTCTCTCTCTCTCTCTCTCTCGAAATGCTCTCACATCACCACGTGCATACAACCACTTCCAAGGAAGTCCTACTCACTACCTTCTCGCGGCGGGAGTGTTGTTTACGAAATGGAGAGTTCGAAAAGTGAATGATTTCAGGCAGTCAACACTCATTTGTTCTTCGTTTGGATATAACATATTCAATTTATTCAAGTGATTTACCGAATACAGATTTGTATAAGTGGCTTCAAGCCACATTCAAATTCTACGGGTTGTTAATGCTACCCAGTTGTCCAAGCCTAAGTAGGTAGAGCGAGATTTAAATCTTCAAGTTAGTAGCTAAAAGTTGAACAACCTAACCACTGGAACGGTAGCTCAGTAGTATTAAATTATTCAACATTGCTAAGAAAATTACAAATTGAAAACAATCATTTTTTCGTACTTATATTTGTTGTCAACAAAATTTCTGATAATTATTATTTTCGTGGATATTAGGTTCACCTGAATGTCAATGGATCCGAGTTCGTGAAGGGAAATTGAAAAAAACTATCTTGAAGTCTAATTTATTAATGCTATTGTTAGCCTTATATCCAAAAGTTTTTCGATTACTTCGCCCCCGAATACCCTGGTACGGCCAAGAGAGGGGAGAGTCCGCTATCCCTCATTTAATGCTCTCACATGGCCACGCGTATATAACCTCTGCCAGGGAAGTCCTACTCACTGCCTTCTCGTGGCGGGAGTGTTGTTTACGAAATGGAGAGGACGGAAAGCGAATATCTGGCGCTTTAACCTGGTTGGTGGATACGGAGAGTCCACCTAGGGGAGTTGGGAAACCCTGATTCCAAACCAATAGTGCACATGGGCTCCAGTATCCTAAAGGAACAAATGGCGTATGAACCAATCGTTCGTCACCGGCTACCATGGAACTGCATCTCCTTACGATGCTCCACTGCCCTGTGGGTTAGACCTTTAGGTCGAAGGCCCGGGGTATGGCCTCCTAAGTAAACCACCTGTTTCGGTTTGGGCACCCGGGAAGTATCACAGCCCTCACACAGATCAAATGAGATTTGTGTGGCGCATATGTAGTTGGTTCTTCCTTGTACCAAATTCTATGTGTTCAAATAAATAAATAATTAATTAAACCTACCATATTATAGTTATCGAAATTTTTATGTTTTTATTTTCAAATTTAATTATCGACTTGATTTGTTATATCTACTATTTAGGTTCATAGAACCTGATACAATTTTGTGAATTCGTTCCAGTTCCTATAATATATCATTATATTAGGGTGAAATTATCGGAATAAATGCTAGAGTTGTAGAAAAAAAGAATACTGTCAGTGATTTCACAAAAGGTTACACATAGACAATATGATTTGTAGAATAAAAAAACGTGTATAACATAATTATGAAACTAGGAATTTTATATAAGACAAACAGATGAATGCATATACAGTAGTGTTTCAATCGATACTGAACCGTCTTATTCAACGCTTCAAATCAACATTATGAGACGAAAATATATATGAAGTCATTTCATGAAATCACTGACTGTTGTTATGCTAAGCATTTTTCGGAATGGTTTATTTTTTTATTAGGATTTTTAAAATAATTATATGTATATATTTTTAATGGTTGAACACCTTAGACAACGTGACTCAAAATTAATTATCATGGCGTAGATGCAACCATAGGTAGTTGTCTTTTTTAAACCGGTTCAGATCAATACCATTTTACACGGTTTCACCTTTAGGAATCATATTTCAATTGATCCGTTTTATCCCAACACCACTATTCATGTTATTATTATTATTTTCACTTTTTGGATTCCATCTTGTGAATTAGGTGTCTCATTATAGTGCTGTAAAATTTTGGTTACTTGAATAATAATGTGCAGATTTATACCAGATTCTCCATTTTTCAAATATGTCTGCCTACTGTACAGAGGAACAATAAGAATTCAAAGATGATCCAGAGCTGCTGGTACTGTTTGATGTGTCATTGATTCAGCACAGGGATAAGGTCATAGATGTCGATATCCTGATTGGCGATTTTGTCATGTGATATCCGAGAGGCCATAGGACATAATATATGTGGATCAGTTCAAGTTGCTACACTACATCAACACAGCGAGATGAAATCTGAATGAATTCGGAATCAGCAGAATTTACAATTGTTTCAGTTGGTAGTAGAAGGCATTTAACATAGCTAATATGTTTGTAGAAGAAAGAGTAATTTCGCGGAATGAAAAGATATTAGATAATATAAAAAGTCATGATCTAGAGAGAGATAAAGAGTGACTATATTCTCCTCCATTACGACGGATTCTAGTCACTTAACATCTTTATCCATTGATCAAGATAACTTTATAGACTTCAATTATTTGTTTAAATCTATCGACGCAACTCCATAGCCCGATGCCACGTTTTGGTGTGGCGTCCCTAGCTTTTTTTCCAATCTACTCCACCAGCTGACATCGCCGACCAATATATACCACTTGACTTCCAAGCTGCTGGATATATAGTTTGAATCCTGCTTTACATGAATTTGTTTATGCAACCGGTTATTATTTTACTGGTTTTCATAAACACACACACATCAAACTGTGCTTCAAAGACAACATAAATATACAGTTTGACAAATCAATGACATTATTTTTATCATTATATCCATTATATATATGACTACTGTTAAGTGCATTTTTTATGATTTATTTTGTAAATTTTCTAGGCAAACATTACGTAATGAAGGTGTTCATGGTCTATTCAAAGGGGCTGGTTGTCGTGTTATGGTTATGGCACCATTGTTTGGTATAGCACAAACTGTGTATTACCTTGGTGTTGCTGAACGAATTTTAGGTTATCCAAGATATTAAAACAAAAATGAATGAAATATACACATACAATCATTCATTTTCAATGTATAAAAATGAAATGATGCTTTGATGCCCTGCCGCCAAATGTATTCGTTCATATTTACACAGAGGATAGGGGAACAGTAAGGAAATAGTAAGTTGCTCAATGCTTTCTTTCTCTTTTTTTTCTTTCTGGCAATAAATCATTATTTTCTATACAATTTTGTGATGAGTAATTTGTATTGCTTTACCAATAGATAATAAACCATTATGATGTGTTTACTTCGGTTGAATTCCATATTGATATTGTGTTTCCTTTCTTTCAATCCCTTTTTCAATTATTTTATTATTACCCCTCCTCTTGTTTTCAGATACCAAAAGTGTACTCTTTGCTCCAATTAACACGGGCGTTTTATTATTAAGTTATAACTGTGATTTTCTATTTAGTTCGTCTTTGTATAATTAAATTTCCTTATACCTTGTCCGTATACATTCTATGGACACACACACACCTTGATTATACATATATACTGAATATTGATGATAAAAAGTGAACGAATCTCTGTTATATTTCCTCTTAATCCTCTGAAAAAATCTCTAGGCAACATCCATCTTTGTTTATTATTTAATAAAAGCGGTTGTTTTTGAGTGTACATATGTCCTGATTAATTAATGTATCTATTATATCAATTTATTACATTATCATATCTGACTATGTAACTAGTTATTATCATGTTAATTATTACCTTTATTGTTTCGATTATAAAACATTTTCCCTACTTTTCTTTCATGTCTTTCTTCTCCCCCCTCTCTCTCTCACTCTCTGTCTCTCTTTCTTCAAGATTATATTTTTATAAAATTTGACTGAGTTTCACCTTTTTATTCTATTTATTTGTTATTATCATTATTCCGAATAAATTATGTTTCCATGTTTCTTCGTTTTGTATATCGGTGTTTAATGTTTGTTTCATTGGATTTTCTATTCACCTGATAACTAAACAACTTTGATAATGGATAATTGATTAATATCTTGTAGATCAAAGTATTCTTTTCATGTGTAAAGTTGTTAGAGTTGGTCGATAGGAAACTTTGCTCAATTTAATTTCCTTGCTATATGGCACTGTTTACTAGGGCATACCCATAGTCTGAAAAGGAATTTATAGTCTCTTGTGGATTTGAATTCACGTCACCTAGCTTCATAGGATGGGACGTTACCATTGAGCTGTTCGAGCCACGACTAAACTCCTATAAGACTAAGATATTTGCAGTTGATTAATCATTGAGTAGTTTTTTGATTTCTTAGAGAAAGGTTATTAAGTTTTTTTATCCTAATCTTTCCTTATGTAATTCGTTTATTTCGTGTTAAAATTTATTGTTATAAATTAGTAGTACATATTGATTTGAAGCGATAGCGAATCTTCCTATCAAGTTGTAGGTTCGATTTCTACTCTACTTAATTTTGAGTTCAGTAACTGGATGATGCCACTAAATCTTATGCAAAAGGTGTAATCCGTAGCGGAATACCTAAAGTAGTATTTGCTAAATGAGATATACAACATTTTTCGAACTCTTTTATTCATTACAAATCAATAGTTAGGTTTTATGGTTTACAACACGAACTAACCTAAGACAATTATTGGAAACCAGAAAACGCAACCACAGCGTGACTCTTCAGCAGTGCATATTTACAGGCTCACTGGTAATCGAATTAGGATCTGGCCTCATTGGATTGAGTCAGTTACCCACCAATAACATGATCTTATTCTGGTTGCATGATATTTTGGTAATGAACTGAAGTTAAGCGTGTAACCCACTAGTTGTATACTTAGTGGTCCTATAGTTTAGTGCTCCTCAGGAATGCTAAAGGTCTTGGACCTAGTCCTCAGTCGGGTTGGTGATGCTCATAGCTGAGGAATTCCATACTAGAATGAAACAGATGTACTATATTTTGTGACTGTCTAGCTACAGTCAGTTTGTGATGTAAGCTACAAAGTTGTTAGATTCCAGTAACCATCAAATATCTTTCAATTTAGGTGATATGTTGGCGGAGGAATAATACGATAGCAAAAATACAACTAACCTCGAACACTACAATTACAACTGTGTTTGAACTGTGAAATGCTTCTATGTTCTGACTATATGTAAATTTAATGATAACTGTTTAGATAAATGTAATATAGCATTTTAACTTAATGTGTAAAATGTAAACGAAATTGTTTGTTGGATTATACTTATTTGGTGACTTTAACAATGGTACTTGATTATTGAGTAGCAATGAAATTTCACACTGATTGTTCAATGATTTGAAGACTTGGTTTTTCAATCGTTGAACACTAGTAGATTTGCTTTAATTTAACTAACTAACTAATCTTTAAAAAGGTTAAGCTAAAAACGCAATATATCAAGTTGCTCTTTTGTTACTGTTGTAAGTTAATAATGTTGAATATATTGACTAGAGAGTCGTAAATACGATAACCGGATTTTAGAAGGATAAATGTTATGCGGTTATTGGTAATCGCGAGAAATCCGTGGAACTAGGTTTCTTGTTAGTTAGCGCTCGTCAACGAGATATGTGTTCAATATTGAGGGAAATAATGTTGTCTATCTGATTCAAATCGTACATCCCTTCAATCTGGAATATTATCACTGAGCTATTGAGGTTACGACTGATCTGTTACAACTTGATTGATAGAATTCAATCATCACTAAGTATACTTAGTGCTAGTCTATAGACTAGGCAAATATGAAATTAGCTGCTTATTCACTGATTATTATTATGTTGAAAATTCCTCAGCTTTTATATCTCTGTCCACTGCCACAGTTATAATATTTTCTTGTCAGTGATCGACGGTAATCGTGAGGAAGCTCTGAATTTAAGTTTAATTCTAGTTGCTTTCGTCAACAGGAGATATCTGTAGTCTTTCAGGGGATTGATACTTCATGTTAGATTTGAGCCTGTATCGTTCAGTATTACAGTCATTAATGATACCAATGAGATAATTGGGTAACCACTAACTCTCTGCAGTACTGAGATCATTCTTGATCAAGGACTATCCAGTTACAGATCAGTCAGTTTTATTGTGTTTACAACAAATACTAATGGAAAAAAGGAAGGTTTACTTTACTAATGTATTTTGAAATTGAGATGAAACAGCTCATTGTTGGTACCAAATTATCATTGATTTTTAAATGATAATAATTACATAACTATATTCTGTCTACTTTTTGCTGTCCTAGGTTTTAATAAGTCAGAATATTCTCCATTTTATCAAAAAATATATTTCGAGCGTTTATTTTTTATTTAAGTCTGATAAAGTGGACATGAATTTTTATGAAACATTAGATTGTTCAGTTACTTTAACCCTGTCTGGGTCGATTCGACCTTGAACATGACATTATTTGGATAGTACTGTGGTGCGTGCTACTTATATCGATGTAAGTAGTATATCATGCGAGCTAAAAACTCAAAGTCTGGCAGCAGAAGATGGGGGAAGATGAAGAAAGGGAGAGCGACACTACAATGCACTTTGTAAGGAAACGCATGGACAATGAAATGTGAAACAATGGGTTGATGTTTGCAATAGGAACAGTCCAGGTTGATATGATGGGTTGATATTCTGCAAATTAACGATTTACTATATGGTTTTTTCTATTTTATCAACTCTGTAATTTTGTGCTAAATACAGTTCTGTTGTCCTCACCTGTGTTCTCCTTCACTACTGTATAATAAGAAGACGAAGATTATACTATTACAATTTATCAAGCGGACTAATTGCTTATTTCTTTCTAATTCCCAACATTTAAGCAGTAAAAAAAACTGATCCCATTAACAATCTGATGTGTAGTGGTAGAAAGTTCTGTTAATCTATTAGGGGTAAAGTCAGTAGTTGACATTTTTTAAGTGAGTTAAATTATTCGATGCTTCTTGATGAAGTATAACTCGATTGATTGTTACATGATTACAGTCAGTCAATAAGATACCGTGGTGTTACGTTTAATGTTAATTGTAAGTATAATGTTGTGGAGATTATTGAATTTCTTTGACATCATGAACCGATCAATGTTAGACCATCATCGAAAACTTGTAAGCACTGAACGGCCATTTCGTTCCAGTATGGGACTCATCCTAATGGGTTGGTGTCTGATGAAGCCTTTGTACGGATTTAGAAAGCTCGTTTGACTTTTGCCAACTTACGTCACTCATAGCGAAGGCGATATATCCGTCTATCAATTAAGGGACGAGTATACTGCGAGGCAGTTCGTTCTGTTCAACTTTACGACTGCGGGGCGTGGCCTTTAAGAGTAGAAGATATCCGTACGCTACTAATATTTGACCACAGATGTCTCAGAAATATTACTCGCATTTGCTGGGATCACCGTGTAAGTAGTAGTGAGGTTAGATGCATGGTATTAGGGAATGATGGTAAATCAGTCGATGAGGTTGTAAATCTTCATCGACGTATGTCTGAACACTGATTACCACGACGCGCAATGTTGGCTAGTGTTGGGGATGGTTTTAAGAAATTTAGAGGCGGCCAAACCAAAACGTAGCATTAATCCATAAGATCACTAACTTCTGACATGAGTCATATTGATAGATACAGATCACTTGATTGGGGCCACGTAATTATCGTAACCAATGGTTGGAGACTATGGGTGACATAGTTCAGAATTGATCACAATAGCATCCGTGTTTACACTCTTTGTCTTTCCTTGAACTATGAGATTAAAATTGTTTTATATTTTTCTTTCTGCCAAATAATTCTTTCTTCCTGTACTATATCCTTATACGCAATCCTTCTTTTATACATTACAACCATTGAAGTGACTACTTCTATGCATTTGGTGTTCTTGTGCTAATGAGGTGTGGCAAGTTGGACTGATGCATATATGTGCCTGGTCCTACTTTGTAGCTGACTGACTGAGTGCGGGACTCATCAAGATTGCACATTCACACAGGAGTCGAACCTACGTCCTTCGGTCTCTCGCGCGAACGTTAAGCCTCAAGACTACTGAGCTGGGATCCGAAACTAATTGTTACTCGTCAACAAAGTGCACTAGTATTCCTGGGGGAACTAATGCTCTCTGATAGATACGATCCCTCATTTTCCAACTTCACAGTCAGAGATGTTATCACTGAGCTATCCAATATGTGACTGTCTTCCTCTAAAACTTTTATGTACTTACAAGTAGTTGGTATCTGAATGGCAACCAATGTCATGTTTATCAAGTCCTTCTTAAGTTCTTATCAAATTCTACTGATCATGTTACAATGTGACTACTAGCCTAAGTGACTCGACATCGCGAGCACTATATTGAGATTTAAGGTAGTGGTTGGGGGTAGTCGATAAGAAACTATGAGCTCAGGTTTCGTGCTATACGACACTCGTCACCTAGGTTAACCTGTAGTCTTGAGGGTACTGGTGCTCCTTGGAGGATTCGATCCTGTGTCATCCAGCCTCACATTCAGGACTGCTACCACCGGGCTATCCAGGGTTCAACTAACCACCTTTAGTAAGTGAAATTTTTTTACTGCATATGTAACATGAGACTATACTTGAAAAATTAGTGCTCCCAGTGTTGAAAGATAGTGAATTAGAATTAGAAACTAAAATGTCTTTCAATTGTATTTTTAAATGCTAAAAAGATTAATAAACTAACTTGTGATGACTAGAATATCTACAGACAGATCAACGTAATCATTTTGAATTATTTCGTCGACATGTATTTGTCTTTTTCATTTATTCCCCTTTAACCTTGACCGTTTGCATAATAGTAAGTATATATCTATCTACTTGCTTGTGTTTCTTACATCTAGTTTAGAACTGAGTTACGTTTTATAGTTTTTTTAAAAGTCGGTTTAATGCTGAACTTGAGCGTTTTATATATTTGCTTAATCTCTTTGGGTTTTCTTGCCGTTTAATATTCATA